CATATAATAAAAAGGGGAGAACAACAAGATGCTTTTTATTTTATTCCAAAAATAAAAAGGTTTGTCTGTGGGAAAATATCCATTTAAAGAACATTTAGTTTTTCACTCCACTTATTTGCAACGAATGTCCTCGGAAAACCTCCCCAATAATTCCTGAGACTTTCAGTTCATTTTCATCAAATGTATCCCAAACCTACCAAACAATTCTGCTGAATTGTGACCCAAAATTACCACAAATTTCATTAAATTTTCACAAAGAATTTCTTTCTAATCCATTGAAAGTTTGCGGTTATTCCTGAAATTTCTGTTAAAATTCCCCAAAATGTGCCTTTAAATTCCTCCACTTACAAACATTTAAAAAAACATCAAATATATCCTTAAAATTGTGATTAAAAATTCATTGAATCGCCTCAAATTAGCATAAAATGTGTATAAGATTCCGAGAATTTTAATTGGAAACAACCAAGTTACTATCGATTTTTTTTTTTGCCTGTTCACTACAGCAGAATGTACAATATCAGTCACTAAAAATTTTCTGAAAAGTTGCTTATAATTTAGCCTGGATCCTTAAGAATTTCACCAAAAATTGCCATACAATGTGATTGGGAATTGTGACACTGAATAAAATTCTTGTTGAAATTTCACACTAAAAATTTTCAGTAGCTGTGTTAAACCATGATGTGCATAAAGGTAACCGGTCATTTTTAGCTAAGCTAAACCCAGAAAGTGTATTTGATTTCTTGGCTCAACCAGTTTCTTGCAAAAACTGTATAAATAAAAAAGGTTATATTTTTGTATTGATATTTTGACGAGTGTAGCTCAGACACATCAGCCTAAAATTGATAGGGTTCTTATTTTCAATATGCCAAGCTGTAGTTTTTCTCTTCATTTTGGTAAACAAACCAGGTGTTGAGTAAATTTGAATGATGTCATGACACGGGAGCAGTATCATTCTGTTAATTTAACAAAAAGTACACATGGTTCTATTTATTATATTGAAAAGAAAAAAAAAACAAGGTTATAGGCTTGAAGCCAGACAAACATCTGAGGTTTTAATTTTTTGGCTAAAAAGTCACAGCAGTAATCATTTTAATTCCCACATTTAACATATCATGTGATATCACATTAACCTTGAAACAAAGTGGTTGTTTTAATTGCATTCCAGCAGTATAACTCTCTTTGACATTTGAAATGTGAAACAAACTGATCGATACTAGTCTTACATATTGATTACCCTTAAGAATAAAAATCAATGAAACTGTGAGTTCAGACAAAGAGGGAAGATTCTTCCAAAGCTCTTGACTTTTATGACCCAGTGATAAGGATCACTGCAAACCATTAACACCATTAAACCAGCCAGTGTGGTTTCCATTCATATTAGCCTTCACGTTGTGCTGCCTGGTTAATGACTATGTGTTTGTACCGACATCTCAGCAGCCTTCAGACCACACTAGCCCTCAGAGGACTCTTGATTAGCAGCTCAAAAACAACATCAAAGTCCTTTAATGTGAGCAGAGATTCCCTAAGGATCATATGTGAACAATGACACACACAAACACAGTGTGTATATAACCACACACACAGTCGGGACATCTTCATTAAATCCACTCAGTGTCTACTCAGTGTGTGGGCAGTCGGGAGGTCCTCAGGCTATGTGTGTGTAGAAAGTGTCTGTTCGTATGTGGGTATCAGAGCCTCTGACGTCTGAAGGCTTTGGGATATTAAAACATAGAGAAACACACACGCATGCACGCACGCACGCACGCACGCACGCACGCACGCACGCACGCACACACACACACACACACACACACACACACACACACACACACACACACACACACACACACACACACACACCCAGGAGGAGAGGAATCCACTTACACAGACAGAGACTGAAAGCTCCATCCTCTGTAACAGTCTAACCTTACACAGACCTGTCCGCCGCTGTGTATGATGAATCATTTCATTTACAATAATTAGATTATTTGCCTGTTGTGTTTGTGAGTGTGAAAATGTGTGTGCAGGTGTGAGTGTGAGGTGAAAGTTTGCCTACAGGATACGTAGCAGTGTAAGTCTATGTGAAGGAAAACCCAACTAAACAGCTATTTAATTCAGATCTGGTGGGAGAACTTCATGCAACAATTTTCTGTATCTTATAAAAAGACACTTTGATTTAGGCCTCTAGTTAACAGCACATGCTGTTTGCTGTGATTATATAATTTCATGGCATCAACATACATATACATATGCAGTGTGGGAAACTCTCTTTCTGTGTTGATTTTGGCGCCCTCTTTTGGCAGACCAAACTGTAAATCTTTGCTGATTTAGTCCTGTATTAAAAATGTCATCATGCCAATTTTTCAGTGACATGTTTCACCAACTGTGAATATTTGCCATAACAGGAAAAAAAAAAACAGTTACCTATATATTATTTATTATTTCTATTGACGTGTCAATAGAAATAATAATAATAATAATAATAATAATAATAGTATTCATAATAGCATTCAATACCGAAGGCTTCAGTACTGAATACTGTTATCTCAGCCCTGGTCCTCTAAATTATTCTAAGTGTTGAGTCTTCTTGAAGCAAAGCAGATTCAAATCAGGATATGAGTCTGTCCTCCCTAATGTACTTACAATGTTAGGTCTCTTACATAATAGTCTCTCAGAAAATGCTTAGTCATAAACTTATTATGGCCCCCATAATAAAGGCCTCTTCTGTTTAGATGCATAGCTTTATAGTTTTAGTATTGTACACTTGTAAACAAAGACCTCTTTGGATACATAACCTCATTGTTTTATGATGCCGGTAGCACATACTTACCCTCTGGTTACCACCAGAGGGTATGAATATATAACTGTTGGTTTTCTGTGGATAACAGTGATTCTAGGTTACAATTTGACAATGGCTAAGTGTGCTGGATTCAGGGAGGAGAACATCGAAGTCTATTCCTGGAAAAGCCTCTACACTATCTCATGATCCATTATACTTTTATTTGTTCTTTCACTGCCTTGTACTCAGTAAAATGTATTCAAAAGCTAGAGTCAGTGGTCAAATTGATGGACAAATAAATGTTTTACACTTAAAAGACATTATGGTCTTGTTAAACATAATGGAATTAGAGATTACACACCAGAGAATATACAGAGAGGTTTTGAATTTAATAACTAACCACATATTATTTACCTTTATTGGAAAGTTGCCTCAGTTGAGCAATTCTGCTTGTGCTTAGTGTATTGATATGGAAAATACTTCAGGTCACAAATATTTTTCTTGCTGTAAACAGCCAGTATTTTACAAAAATTTACTCTAAGCAGGACTGCAGATTTCCAGTGTGCTTCAATTCAGTGACTCACATCTGAATGTGACACGGGACGGTGTGATGCTTTTACACCTGTAACATGATTTTCATCATACAAAAAAAAAGGAAACTATGCCTTGCATGATTTTGTCAACATTTTGATGATTATGACTTAGAGCTTGCTTGAAAATTAAAGATCCAGTATCTCAATTTATTGTACTAGTTCCTCAGATCAATAAGAAAATACAGAATCATTTAACTTCTGAAAAGCATGTTCATCTATACACTCAATACTCAGTTTGGGCTCCTCTGCCACATATTATCCTATCAACTCAGCACTGCTGAGGTCTAACTGACACCCAGGATGCTTGGATAGTGGCCTTCAGCTCTGCTTTATTCTTGGGTTGGGTGTTTCTCATCTTCCTCTTGAAAATATCCCACTAATTCTTGGGATTCAGGTCAGGGAAGTAGGCTGGTTAAACAAGCACAGCTGTATCATTGTCAACTTTAGAGTTATGGCGCTGTGGGCAAGTGCTGGAAAGGACATCAGCATCTTTTAAAGCGATGTGCCCCTAAATCTACAGGTGTGTTGACTATACTTATTTAATAAACAACAGCAGATAGCATTGTACCCCAAATCATCACGGGCTGCAGAATCTGGATCCTGGGCCTCTTCACTTTACCTCCAGACTGGAAAGAGAGCTTTGGACTTGATGTCTTTTCCTCCTTAGCCCTCATAAGACTTTTCTTAAGTTGTATTTGATTTAGGACTGACTGATATTAGGAATGTGACAACTGTAGTCACTTTCCTTTACATGGTGACTTTTAGTGCACTGACACCAGCCTCAGTCCACTTCTTGTGAAGCTCTCCCGAATTCTTGATTGCCTTTTCTTGGCTTTTGTATCAAAGCTGCAGTCATCCATATAGTGTGCGCAGCTATTCCGACAACAAACGTCCCTTCCAGTCAACTTTTCAGTCATATGCTTGCATACAGCACTCTGTGAACAGCCAGTCTTTTCAGCAATGACATTGTGTGTGAGTTCACCTCTTTCTGGAGGGTGGTGATGACTGTCTTCTGGACAGCCTCCAAGTCAGCAGTCATCCTTATCAGCGTGTCTACTAGACTGTGAGATACACAATATTCAGTTGAAAAATGACTGTGCTTGAACAGCATACTATTTTCTTCTTGTTTTTCTTGTAAATTTTAAGTTAGGTCAAAAGTTTAAAAAAAGAAAGCATGAAATACTTTTCAATTCGGTTTATAATGACTCTACAACACAAGTAATTCCTTACTCTTACTTTGATTAACAAAAAATGTACTTTTTCACATTTTTTTCTCAATTTTTTTAAATACTCCTGTCCATGGAGGCTTTCACTTTTAACTTTTACTCTCAACCTGTGCAGTTAAGAGGGCAATTCCTGCAGGTACAGTCTGCCCTAGGCTTAGATCAGGGGACTGGTTTGATGGGAATACTCAGATTTAAAAGGCTAAGGTGCCAGGGGGCTGTCAGTATGGAATTTATTTTCATCTCTGAAATAGGCTACTGAATTATTTATAATGATTACTCATGAAATACTAGTCTACTCCAGACACCTAGTGGATGTTTATTGTGTAGAATTTATTAAATGAACTCCAAAGGAAAAGGTAAGAGAAAAAGGATTTAATAAGCGCCTCCACAGGAAACCTGTTTGGGGGAGAATGAAGCAGATGTGTGGAGATGGTCATAGTTTTTCTTCCTCTTTGCAGATGAATAATTCAGTGCAGCTGTTTGTGTTTTTGTCTGATACTCATCCTTTCCTTTTGTATCTAAGATCTACGCAGAATAGATCAACATAACACTTCTCCTCTTGCAATTTTTAATTAAACTTCTTCCGTCTCGAATAAAAAAGACTGTTATACCTGTTTGATGAATTACGCACATCTGCAAGCATAGAAATCATATTACGATGTCAAAAACTGAAAATATCTCCAGACACTAAAAAGAAAGTATAACTTCTTGACAGACACCTTGAAGTTGATGTTACAGTTTGATTCCTCATTACAAGTCGTGGTCTACTCAGTCTGTCATCCTCATGTTGTTTTGTTCAGAAGGGGGAACTGTTTCAGCGAGAGGACAAAAGCCTCCGGAGATTTTTTGTATTGAAATTTCAAGTGACATTTTAAACTGAAGCTCTCCTTGTGTTTTACTTTGCTATTGTCTTTATTTGTTCCAAGATGACAAAACACGCACTAAAACAAAGAAACTGACGAGTAACCGTCTCCATAAACACAAAAATTCCTGTTTGTAGTGCTGCAGATGTTTAGGAGCTGTTCTGATCTCTTGTTTTAGAGAGCGTTGCAGAGCCATAAATCAGTTTCATTGACAGTTTGCCCCCAAGAGTCCACGTTCTCATGAAGCATGTGGAGCACTGTGGTCGATGGGATGAGCTGCTGGCAGGATTCTGTTGACTATTCTTTTATTTATGTGCAGTGGGATCACCCAAAGGTTCTCATTTGAGAAATGTTAATCTCTGTGTGTGATAGTCTTCTGTTGATTTCACAGTATCCTTCCGTTCTTCTTCAAATGAGGTCTGTGAGCTGCTGATTGAAGCTCGATCAGGCACATGGTTATCAATAGCTGATTAACTGCCTAAATGTGTGGTTTCAGACAGCTGCACGCGCTGACTGCTGCTCTTCATAATGGTGATTGTGTTGCAGGCGCTGACCAGGGTGCTGAAGTTTGGATTTGTGATGTCTGTATACATCTAGACCACAGTCAGACAAACTCTTATTTCTCCAAGTTCAGTGTTCAATCATTCAAGGCTTATGTTAGTCGTGATTCTGTGAAATTTCCCAGTCATAGAAATATCACACCTTTCCTCTGGATATGGGTCCTCCTCACATTTTTTGTGTCTAAATTCAGAGTGCTTTAGTTTTCTGTGAAGAAATGGGCAACATCACAAAAACCGTAGTAAGTCTAATATGCTCCGTGATTTCCGTTTGTGCAGCTGGAAACCGAGTTATTTTTACTTTCATTTATCTTTATCAGTTTTTGTCTACGGCGTGCATCCACTAACAAGTTTAGGTGAAAAAAAGGGTACCAGATGTGGCTTTTTACGTCTGGGTTCAGTGCGATGACGCCATTTCACCTCTGGACTGATGCGTCCAATAAGAAGTTGAATATCGATTTCTTTGGCTGTAGAAATGAGATCCTGGGAAACCCGGATCTCTGCGCCCCCAGCCCCACGTCACCCTCCTGACATCAGCACTCTGCTTAAATACCCGCAGCAGTGAGCAGTGTCAACATAAGCAGGCACACCTTCATATGGGAGCACCAGGAGCCAAACACTGCTGAAAGCTGCACAAAGACTCTCTCCCTACTATGAACTTTACTTCCCTGTTTTTCACGATGGCATTTCGCAGTTCAGCGCTCTATTTTCAAGAGCAAGAAAACTAAACATCCCAGAGAGTTTTTGCACTTTAACTTTTTTTTTTGCATTGTTGTTCAATGATGATAAACGACACTCTTGCGTTGGGAGAACTGGATGTGAATATTTCCGAGCCCCTGCCTCTCCTTGCTCTCGGCCAGAACCACAGCACCTTTCCTGCGCTCCGGCTGGAGTCCAAGTCTCTGGTCACTTCAGCCACCATGTTCGCAGTGGGAGTTCTGGGAAACCTCATCGCCATCATCGTGCTGTGTATCTCCAAGAAGGAGCAAAAGGAAACCACTTTCTACACCCTGGTGTGCGGGATGGCCATCACAGATCTTTTGGGGACGTGCTTCACCAGCCCGGTGGTGATTGCCACGTACGTGGCGAGTCGCTGGCCGGGAGGAGCGCTGCTCTGTCACTTCTTCTCCTTCTCCATGCTCTTCTTCGGTTCGGCTGGGATGTCCATCCTGTGCGCCATGTCCGTGGAACGATACTTGGCTATAAACCATGCGTATTTCTACTCCCAGCACATTGACAAGACAATGGCGCGCTTTGCGCTCCTGGTCACATACCTGGCCAACATTGTTCTGTGCATCATGCCAAGTTTTGGCTTCGGCCAGCACGTCAGGCACTATCCGGGGACTTGGTGTTTTTTGAACTGGAGGGCGATTGATCCAAGCGCTGCATGCTACTCCTTCCTGTACGGCGGCGTGATGCTGCTTCTGATCTTGGTGACCGTTTTGTGTAACTTGGCGGTGTGCAGGTCACTGGTGGGGATGAACCAGAGGACAGGGATAGTCAGGACGGAGTTGTGTGAGCAGGGAGGATCACGGCGCCGTTTCCCCAGGCTGCCCTCAGTCACATCTGCGGCAGAGATCCAAATGTTCTGGCTTCTGGTCTTCATGACCATCGTTTTCCTGGTCTGCTCCATCCCTTTGGTGGTAAGAACTACAGATTTTTTCTGTGAGCTATGTGCAGTCTGTACTGTTAGTACATGATGTCCAACACTTTGAATTACTGTTATTTTTCCATAAGAAATGATCTCAACCTCTTGGTTTATCTGTTGCAGGTGCGTATCTTTGTGAACCAGCTCTACGACCCTGCAGTCATTTCTGCTGGAGGGAAGCCAGACTACCGGAGCGACATCTTGGCGATACGTTTCGCCTCCTTCAACCCGATATTAGACCCCTGGGTTTATATTTTGTGCAGAAAGAACCTGCTGCTGAAGGGCTGCGAGAAGCTGAAGAGGACAGTGGCCCGGTTAAAGGGACGCCGTGGAGACAACATTGGCTGGGTGGAAGGTCAGCACTCCCCTCCGTCAACAAACAGCAACGATACCAGTTACGCGTCATTACGCACAGCCAGCTACAGGAACGACGTGGAGCACCGTGTGTCCATGAAGCACCAGACCTTTACGGACTTCGCGATGAGGCAAGCGTGGGAGTACGACACAGCTTTAGCCAGCTTCCACCCGTTCAGCGTGGAGTCAACAGCGATCCCAGGCTGCGATGAGGATGTAGCAGCCGAGTCTAAACAGCAGGAAACGGTCAAGTCGTCTCCAGGACGCAGCACAACGCCGCCCCTCTCCGCACACATTAGAAAAGTGGACATTGTCACCTGCACGTTCAGCACACCGAGCTCGTGCCAGTCAGTAAAATGTCTTTGACACACTTTGGTTTTTTTTCTACTGAAAAAAGGCTCAGTGGCTGCTTCAGCTGCACAGCAAAAAGGTACTTTATGATACATATATGTGAAGAAGCAACGCAGCCAGTGGTCTCCTTTTGTGATTTTATCGCCTTAGGTTGGTTTGGAACCACCGAAAAGCTCCGAAGCACTTGGAAACAATGTCTAATATCACCCAGCATTAGGACTGGGTGATAACTCGCTCCTGTTTTTAACTCTCTGCAAAAATGTCTTTTAATGAAAATTAGCTAATATGAGATTTCTTGTGAGATTGCGAGATCCACTTGGAGAGCACATCAGTTGAATTTGCAGTGTGGATTTTATCTGGTGGAGACAAATATCCACTTTCCAATTAACAGGACGTCTATTTTCAGCCCTCTGGCGTCAAACGCTCAAAGTAGGTTATCCCTCAGTGTGTCAGACAGACGAACAGACGTCTCTGCTGTCTCATGGTTAATGTCTGTTTGGTATTATTTAGACGTGAGGATAGCCTCTTTTTAAGGGTAACCATCATGCAGTGGGTCGAAAGTCAAAACCATAGACTTTGCGTATAAACACTTTCTACAGTCAGTGGTGGAAACAAACATGCCGTTTACTTGTGTGAATAATCTGTTCTAGGAGGAGGTCTGTATCTCATCTATACTTGAATCTGTTGTAATGCTTGAGTTGAAACTACGGTACAGCGTGGTCCTGTTATTTCATTTGTCACCTTTGTGGCAACTTTTAATTCCCAATCCATGATTGTCTGGTTGCCTTTTCAAAGACAGAGCAGATGTTTGAGTTGAGTCTCAACAGGATGCTAAAGCCAGTTTGCATTTCCACCTGTAACATTTTATTTTGTTAATGATCGTACAAACATCTTCTGAAGTTTAGCAGATTTTCATGTGGCCACTCTTTTGAGTTAACTTTCAAAGTTAAAAACTGTTTCAAGGGAAACATTTTTTCATATTTTGTTAGATTAGACATTTATGTAGGCTAGTTCTGATCAGTGGAGATAACCCACCAAGGTCTGGGTTTACTACTCCGGCCAACCCTTATAGAAGTCGGTGCCTCAGTTTGGCCTCCACCTCTGATACTGGCCTCAAACACCTGCCTTTTTACAGCATGTTTGTGCTGTTTGAGCATTTTATCGTAAGTCCTGCATATTACTATTTCCTCAAAGCATCAAATATCACAACTAATGTGGGCCATGAAGATCTCACACTCATGGAGCCATGTCAAAGCATCAGCATTTAACACTTCAGGACCATTGCTCTGATCTGAGGATTGTGCTAAAAGGACACAGACGGGGTATTAGGTAAAGTATGTAGAGAAAATTTCCAAATGTGGGAATTTTTACAGAATTAAATCATACCCTATGGGTACAAACATTCATCTCTGCCACAAACAAAGTTTGATACACTGTGTGAATCTAAATGTGCCACGTGCAATATGTTTTCTCATTGTGTTGTTGTTAGACTTCATTTTTACTGTTTGAAAGCAACATGCTGCTTTTTTACTCTGTGCCACTTGACTGTGTTGCATGATGCAAGGGAAACTAAGTGCAGACCTTTTATCCTTTGTTCAGTTTTGTTTTATATTGCACATTTGTATGTGATGTTTTGATACCTGCAACTACCAACAGCCAACATAAACATATATCAACTTCTAAAACATGAAAATAAATAAATAAATGTTGTTGCTGTGAGCTGTTTTGCCTTTAGTGTTCTTGTGCTGGATAAACAGAAGAACAGAGAGGTACCAAAGGCAACATAAAACTGCAGGGTACAAGCTCTACTGGTTCAATAACTGTGAGTGATTTTAAAGAAATGTTCCCAGCTGAACAGACAGGTGGCGGGAGAGAATCACATTTTTTCACATCAAACAGAGGGCGTTGGGTTTAGAGTTTGGTCTAAAATTTTGTCCAGCAGATGGCTCTACAACATCAGAAGTCAGAGGTGGGAGAAGATAGCAGAACTGGTCCTGTTTGCAGTAAACCCACATTCAAAACTGAGGTGTGATCAGTCAACAATCAGAACAACAGATATATTAAAAAACTTTATTCCCTTCAAGGATAATGCCATACAAAAATAAAGAAACTTTATAAAATAATAACAATAATAATAATAATAATAACATTAATGTGACATACTGGGGGTGTGTAACTAAGAGGAAGTTTTCAACCACTTTAAACATGAGTATTGTTGAGGTCCTGTTGTATTAAAGTCTCACTTTTTTAACATTCTTAACATTTAGACTGATGATTTATGCTTCGGAAATGCTGATTTATCGAGCCAGAATTCACCACAAAACTAGAGATCAGCTGTCACACACTGTATGTGTGATTCTCTGAAGGAATCTTACCAAACATTATACATAGTTTTAATGTAGGTCAGTTTATCTTTGATTTTTTCACATGATGATTTCCCCTCATTAAGTTACTTCAATCATTTCTAAAACGTTCAATCATCAAATCTTACTCAGATCAAATTCCACTGTCTGGTTGTGTGAGTGGATAAATGTAAAAATCTGCATCTTTGAAATAAAGAAATGTAAGCACTGCATGTGGACAGAAGTAAGTGTCCACATGAAGTCTGACTCTTGGCAATAAATAGACATCTATCTACAATATAGAGTTAATAACAACAGCTCTCATATCAAGCTATAATAAATAAATAATTTATCAGAAATAAATATATTTTACTTTGACACAGTAATACATGAAGATGCATGGCATCCATTTGGCTGAGTTCACCTGAACATAGAGACAAAGAAATGCCTGTTGTAATGTGAAAGTATGATATTGCTTTCGGAGGTTTTGGCTTCATTGGGAGTAAAAGCGAGTGTCTCATTAGTTCTTGGTCAGTCTAATTTGGACTAAGCACAGTGTCGGTCCTTTAGTTGTGTCTTTTTTTTTTTGTATCTTTGAGCTTGAGTCTTCAGGATTCACCCATGCAAACTCAAAACACATCCACATGTACAGTCTCTGATATGAATTTAACTGGAGTGGAGGCCTCTGCATTGGTTACCAGGTATTCAGTCAAAAAAAAAAATCTGTGAAGAAGCAAAAATAAATCCAGACTGTGATTCCCTGATGAGTTCACCCTCTGGTTAGGATTTTGACCTTTGACTTTCATTGTTCATTTGCTCCACACCTCTTCATCACCAAGAGAAAACACAGAAAAGCTCCATTTCATCCTCTGTGGTGTGTAACAGCGCCCCCCTCTGGCATTCCTCAGGCTGAGCCTCCACTCTGTTAAGGACAGGTCACACCTCTCCCCTTCCACACTTTCTTCACTCTTTCAGCCCATACACATGCAACTGGCTGCTGATAAAGACTGGATCGTCCTCCACGTGGTCTGAGCGTCCATGAAGGAAACCGGCTCGTACCGGTCAGGCCGGCAGCAGGGGTGGTTACTAACCTTTCGGGCCGTGCGTCTGGGGAGAGACCCATTTTCCAGCAGCGCCTTCAGAGCGAGGTCATAGTTTGTCCTTGAGGACTGGCAGGAGCCGACACAAAACTTAAAGAGGACGATCTCATCCGAGTCAAACCCCAGACCCAGGTCCCGAACCCTCATCTCTCTTTTCTCCACTCGGCAGTCCCTGCTGCTCTGCTTTGGCTGCCTGTTTTTACCTTTACCCTTTCTGTCCCCTCTTCCTGTCTCTTCCTCTTCCTCCTTTTCTTTCTTCTTCCTCTTCTTCTTTTTCTTTGGTGATCCTTTGGGTTGAGGTTCTGTGAGGTCAGAGGAGCGGGGAGAGCGCCCCGCCCAGCGATTAGTGGGATGGTCATCCACCTCATCTATCACAAAGGGATCTAAAAAGGAGGGGACAGAGGCACAGAGTTCAGAAATCTATGAGGAACTAGATGCAAAACACACTCAAAAACCTCCAATATACCCTTTACTTTGACCTACAACAACTTATCACTGTCCAAGCCCCATGCAAACATGTATTGTGACTGAGACACAAAGCAGATCTCCATGCTCACACCCTCCTTGCACTCTAATACTCTCAGCTGAAGCAGATGTGCTGTAAAATATACTTTTATAAAAGCCTCAGTACCATAAAGAGCATGCCAAGTGGAGTAAGGGTCACTGTTGTCATCCTGCTCCTCGTCCTCCACCACCCCTGGCAGTGTGGGCGGAAGCTCAGGCTCCTCTTTGCCTCCCAGCAGGCCCACAGTGCGGCTCGAGTCTGATCCAGCAGCAGCAGCAGCAGCACCAACTTTCACATGAACTCCCTCCACAAGAGGCAGCAGCGAAAGGAGCACCCACAGCAGCACCTTTAGAAGACACAAAGACACACATTAGATCTCTGCTGAAACGCTGCATCAAATGTATGAAAGTGTGGTTAAAGTCTGATGTTCCTGAATAAAAGGACTAACCACCACTGCAATGAATACATTCAATAATAAGTACTCAATTCCACAAAAACGAAGCTTATACAGCAAAAACTCAAAGCTAAACAGCAGTCTGGCTTATTTCTGTGAAAAAGATATGTCATTGGACTCAATATTAGCCACATTCACATGAAAAGTCCAAATAAAGTTGTCTGAAAATAACATGAGCATCAAACAGGTCAGACGAGACACAAAATTCACTTGAGTGTTTAGAAACATGATAAAATCTCCATTAAAGAAATATAAACATACATGTTTCTCATTGGCAGATAACTTATTTCACAGTCCAGGTCTTGTTCACTCATTAAATTTAGTCTTGTCCAGTGAATGTGTATTAAGTCTGATGAGATACTTTTCTGGCAGAAATAAGCCAAAAAAAATTTGCTTAGTTTTGAGTTTTGTCTGTAAAATGTTTTTTTTCTTTTGAACTTATATTCTTCAAGATTTTTAAACTGATTTTTTTGGCTAATTGTTAAATAGAAAAGGCATGACATTTGCTCGGTCTCTGGCTCTAAACCCTTTTTAATGCACCAGGATTATGTGGGTGAGGACTTCAGATGGTATAGAAATGAGGAATGGGAAGCGCCTTCAAAAATCAGACAGACAGTCATGTAAAATATGTGAGAATATTTAACTAAAAAACAAAAACATCGAATATATCACAGCAACTTTTTTTTTTTTTTTAAATTACACGCTACAACAAATACATTGAATTCCAGTTCAATATAAGGGCATTCATCTACATTTAATGGGGGCCGGAGATTACTTCACACATGTTCACAAATGTTGCCTTATCCACACTCAACTCCTCGGAAATCCAACAATTAGGCGTACAAATATGCAGACTCAGAGAGTGTGTAATTTGGCGTTAACACACTTAATACTACAACAGAAGAACAGCTCTAAGTACACACAATGACTGGGAACACACCTGAAACTCTGTGAGCCTGAGTGTGGAGTTTAGGATTGGGTTATTAACATGATATCAGCCTTCAAGTGAGTTAAACTGTTAACAAGCAGCTAGCTGTGGAGGTGTATGTTAATCAGACATGGAGACGACATAAACATTTATAAATTAATCTTTCATCTTATCAAAAAAGTCAATATTTACTCTTCCTTTATCTCACTTGGTCTCAAACAGCTCATGAGGGAAATTTCTGGTTATCTGAGCGCTAAATATGCTATGCTAGTTAGCTAGCCCCTAACTTGGTTCATCAGTTGTTAGTTGCATGGTGGTGAAGTTAGGTGAAAAAAAAAAAAAAAAACTTAAATTTTAACATTGAGTAAACAAGACATACAGTTTTACGAAGTTAGCTTGGTAGGCTACAGACAGTTTTGACGCTGGCTAACGAAAACGCTCAACTCCTCAAGTAATCCACAAAGGACCTACAGCAGTACTTCATCTTGAGTGAACCTCCTTAGTCTTCAGTAACACTCTACTTTCTCCCTGCTCAGGATCAAACTTCCTCCACTGACAAATGATTTTGAAAAAAAAAAGTCAGGGTGCTGACATGTTTTTATGGAAACCTTATTTCTGAGCCTTTTGGGGATAGGATTATAGTAACAATTTATACCTACACATAACTCATCTTCTGTTTTATAGCAGTCTGTGGAGTGGAAATGAAAAATTATGAGGCAAGGTTATTTGCAAAGAAGGTGATTTCATACAGGTCTTAATGGGGAAAATGAGAAGATAGAGGATGTAGTGAAGAAAAAAGGAAGAGGGAGACAGCAGGGAAGTTCAGTATTCTTTTTTTGACAGTGCCTGTTCCTGACAAACCTTGGCCTTTGCTGACATTACAGAAGCATTCTCGTGTCTATCCTTCCCCCGAACTCTCCATCTGGTCCCACCTGGAGAGAGAGAGAAAGAGAGGAATGTAAGAACAAGACCAAGCTGCACTCTGTCAACTTTTCTCCTCCCAGAACCTCCTTTGAAAAGGGTAACATAAACTCAAGGCACAATATGCGGGCAATATGTTGTCTATAGATTTTCACAATTGTCCAGATACTGTAAAAAAAAAGCAGCATGGGCCCCTCAGCAAGTCGACATGTCACATAAATCACGTCCTCAAAGCTCCAGGACGCTTGTTTGTTGTTTCTCCAGTGTTTGCTGCCAGCTCGTGTGGCCAGTGTTGGCTTGTCGGTTCACACATCCATGCAAAGAGCTCCAGTGCAGCAACAAAAGGCAGCATCTGCGATACACTTGTCAAAGGCATTCTTCAGGGTTATTCCTGTGGCAGAGGAACAAGCAGGGGGAACCAGGCATGGCGAGAGCACTTCGCGGAGGTCCCAGACAAAAACCACAGAGATGCAGGACAGGTGATAAGAGGAGTTACGGATGCAGATGTTTATATATAGTACGTGCAGGGTGAAGAATACTGCCGGCTGCGACGTGGAGCGCCACACAGCCCGAAACATGAGGTCATCAAGCTCTTTTGTGGCGCCCCAAAATGCGAGACTTAGAGGAGGTCAGAGCATCACGTACTTCAGGAACAGAAGATGACAAACATTCAGCATCTATATCATCAGGTCATTAAGGTCAAAGGGTTCCTCCTTTGAGCAACGTGATCTAAGTCCTAAATTTTAATGCACAACATCCAAAAGTAGCTGAAATCTCTTATACTACGGTCAGATTAAATGACTTAAGCCCATTTTAGCCTTATTTATTTTTCTCTCAGCCTTTCTCGACTTGTTCCATGACATCGGTGGCTTTTACCGATGGCAGCTCAGAGCACTCTGCAAAAGTCAAAACAGCACGATGGGACTATGAAACAGAGGCAAAGTTCTGGCAACGACATCCCTACCTTGATTATGTGCCATCAAGGGATGACCACGACAAAATTAAAAAATCAACGAAATGTTGGTGAGAACTACCAGACTCACCACAGCGATGTACTGAGTAACTATCAAAAACATATTCATGTGTTGTCTGGCCCAGCCCCCCTCCTTTTATGTCAACACATCACTGTGATAACCATAGACTGTATATGCTATGGACAATTTGGTTCTGCCTTCCGCCAGTTTATGGATTTAAAGCCAAAATCTCTCTGTATTTCCAGGTTTTTTCTTCACTTCCTGAAACCAACATTGCACAATAGCGTTGTACACACTCCACCACTTGCGCATTAGCATTGTACGCATTTGGTGGGAGAGTCGCAGAGAGTCGCTGTGTTGACGCTCTGCTCAAACAGCATTTCCGCGGGTGAGCTACGCGATCTTTGTACACCCATAGGCTGTATCAAGTGTCAATCATAGAAAACATGAACCCCCTATTAACTTAAAAATGGAGCTGTACAGAAAAAAGAGGACTTGAGCACAAACCAGTCTTACAGTAACTACATGTCAACATTGCAAGCAGGGGGGAAGAAAAATCTATATTCTGTGTAATCAATTTCTAAAGTTTGTCCACAGCTCCACAGGGATTGCTGGAGGAGGCGGGATTTATAACCTATACTGCAGCCCGTCACCAGAGGGTGCTGTTCTTGTGGAGGCTTCACCCAGCGAGGAGGCAGACGGCGTCCATTCTTTATACAGTCTATTGTGATAACTGATGATGTACAATTAGTCTTTGCAGTCTTTCATGTCTGTAGGTCAAGTCAAGGCACATTTATCAAACACAGTGACCATCAGGACTGTTAGCAAAGTCGCATCCTCTGACCTCAGCTTCATTCTAATAATAGTGTTAGATCATCTAACCAACAAAACAACACTAAAAAAACCACAGCAGTCAAATTACAGTGTGATGTTACACAATTTGATACACCGTGGAGTTGATACAATAAATATAGATATCACACATTTTCATCAATTTAATTAAATCAACACCCCTCTGCTTAGCTTTGGGTCCTGATCACCTTGTTGGGATTTTAATGGCCATGACTATCAAACCTTACTCGTCAATCTCCGAACCAATTGATAAATATATTTGGTGATGTGTCACACATATTTAAAAACAAACAGCTCGGCCATAACATTATGACCACCTTCCCTATTATACTGTCAGCCATCTATCTTGTCAGGTTAAGACCAAAACAGCCTAGACCTGACCAGGCATGGGCTCAAGTGGATCTCTGGAGGTGTTCTGTTGTATCTGGTACCAAGACATAAGCAGCAGATCTTTTAAGCCCTGGAAGTTTTGAGGTGGAGCCTCCAGCACATCCCACAGATGCGTGACTGATAAAGATCTGGGGGATTTTTGAGACCAAGTCAATGCTTTGAGCTTTTTCTCGTGTTCTTACAGGCCAACTTCTGATGCTCGTGTGTCTTCTGTTGGTGCTTTCAGTGGTGGAGAGGGGTCAGCATGCACCTTGACCAGTCAGTGGCTACACAGCTCCATACCCAACAAATTGCATAACTAGTGTCCATCAGAACCAACATTAAATTTTTCAGTAGTTTGAATCTAAATATATACCTCTTCTTTCAGATTAAACCACACAGGCTAGTCCAGGATCTGTGAGCCTGGGCCAATCATGACCCTGCTGCTGGTTGACTGGTTTTCCTTCCTTGGTCCAATTTTATCAGGTTCCAGGTACTTGCTGCTGAGTGTATCCCACCCACTGAAATGTGCCATTGTAACACATCATCTATCAGACATCAGGATGTTACAGCTGATCAGAAAATATCTGTCATAGTGTTGACATAAATATTCAACCAACCATTTCAGCTCTTGGAAGAAATCTATAGACAGTCTGGAATACTGACAATAAATCTACCCACAACTATTCGAATATCTGAATTACAATAGTTTTAACACTGAAGTAAAAGTGGTACCACCAACATGAATGTTTTTCATTGCTTCAGAGATGGTTAACATAATTGCAATTTGCAAAACATGTGCCACAAGAATCACAAGAGGTCCTCAAGTTTAACCGCAGTATTAAGAAGCAGTCATCACAACTAAAAAGTTGAAACAGTTCTTTGTTTTGTCTGTGTGTCTGTTAAAAGTGATTTCAGTTGGAATAAATAAGTATATAAAATAATATGTGTGGATCTTTGCTCATTCTCAGCCTTTCTTACCCTGGGCTGTGCATCATTTACATACATAAGTTTGAAAAAGTATTGGTAATCATGTTGGTACAGGCCGTCTGGAGCAGGTTAATATTAGTTCAAGTTCAGGGAGATCCATGTTGTGCATCCCTATGTAAACTTGCCAGAGGTCTGTATTTGATAGATGATTATCAAAATTGTTATTAAAACTGTATTTTTGAGGTTAATCAGTGAGACGAGACTTCTGCCTTCAGGTGAGGTATTTCTCCAGCTTCTGATTTTCAAGACTAAAAAGTAAGTAATCAAGATGTACAATGTCATACTTTATCGTTTGTCACCTTAATGAAACTTCTGTGTTAAGACTAAACTTATCCTTCTTGTGTACTTATCAGCTCCTTAATTCAGCTCCAATCTCTGAGTTTTGTAACACAGCCCTCTACCCTCATATCTCAAACATCTTTGAAACCGCATCTGTCATCTCTGGGATGCTTTGTTTAACCTTGGGACTGAGCCAAAGAAACACTGTGGTAGTGTATTCAAGTGCACACTGTTAGTGTATTTGTAGATCTGGCTGATTAAAGCACACAGTGTTTATTTAACAGTCAAATACAATCCCAGCAGTTCTGTCTGTGCAATGAGATGGAAGACTGACAAAAGGTTACAGATCACACGTCATGATAGCTGTTGGTGCTTTTATGCAATCCTGTACGTTGCAGCTGCCGCAACAGAGGGCTGAGGTACAGACGGTGAGGAGTGGGAGAGAAAGAGAGCATAATACAGCCGTGCAGACAGAGAACACACAGACACTGCAACTTTAAACTGTGCAGACTCCTCAGCCCTCTGTCTCCCCCCCGGTCTCTAAACTGATTTAAAACCCATCAGCACAGGGAGGCTACAGATCTTCAGGAGAGGTGCCACTCTGAGTCCTTAACACCACAGCTGGGAGTGTTTATCCACCTTTAGATCAGCGAGCAGAGAGTCTACATGGTCCTGTCTGCTGGTTCATTTCACCCAAGCACTGTGTAGCTGTTTACAGCCCAACGCCTGCAGCCTTTTTCGGGGATGAGGTGGGTGGGGGAGTCGAGCAGGAAGAGAAGGAGCAGGACGGCGGTCCATGAGGAGCTCCAGACTGACACAAGCCCACTGATGTTGTGTGTGTGTTCATTTTCAGTCCCTGATCTATGTGTGTGTTTAGAAAGCTGGGCATGTTTTTTCCTTGTTTGGCTGATTAAAGCCTTTGGTTTGTCCATCAGGCTGACTGTCTGCAGCGGGGAGAGCGGACTTCTTGTCACCTTCCATTTGCAATGTTGCTCCTCTGCTCTCATGTTGTTGTTCACAGTTAGTTTAGAAGGGAAGCGCTGCTGGAGCAAGTACAGCCCATAAAACAAAGTTGGCCACTACTAGAGATAAGTGAAGTGCTTTGAGAGGATGGCTGTAAATTTTGGTTTGGGGGACTTTTACAAGGTTTAAAAGCAGAGAATCAGCTTTACATGAAGGCTAAGAGAACATATGCAGGATATAACCAGACTTTTTTTCTCTTATTTTTTTCTTTCCTTTGTTTAATACCAAACATTAGTAAAAGACCTTTTCATCATTACTACTCTCAGCACCTTCATTTTACAATCATCACCTAATTTTAACTTAAGCCAATAATCTGAAAAAAGAGGAAATAAATGTTTGATTATCCCATGAAAAGCCAAGGCTAGCTCCCACACACAGATAGGCTATATGCCTGATTAAAATAGAAATTAGTATTTGTAAAACTAATACCAGCCAACACTATCCATCTCCTTTTAACAGATCAAAAGCTTAGTTAGCACTGATAGCATAGTAGCCTAAGTCTGTATCTGCGGTGAAAGTGGATCGTTACACAAAGGATTAACCACCAAAGATGACAACTGCTAAAAAAAGACCAAAAATCATAAATTACTTTAAGATCTGTGTGATATTAGTGAGGGTGGAGGACATTAGCATGTGGACCAAAAGTCAGTGAATATTCAGTTTGGTGAGAAAAGTAATCACGTCACTGAATGTTTGAGATTACATTATCAGCGATTAGGTAAACTAATTCAAATATCAAGACAACGACTCTGAGTTTGGTGTCTTCAAATTAGGGAGTCTTCCAAGCCAAAGAACACAAGACCTCTACATATGAGACCTGTGCAGATTTGGCAAAACACACAAAAAAGGTAAAAGCCAAACTGCAGTGTCTGTATGTATCCGCAGCTTGACTTTAAGTTCATTTACAAACACTGTCCTGTTACTTTTAGTTTGAATAAAAATGCAGTTCATATTTTGTGTTAATCTTTTATACAACACATTATAAACAACCTTTAAAACAACAACCAGACTAGATACATGCGTAGGTTACATGCTCGAACCAACTAGCCTTGCAGTGTGGATTATCAGTAACTGTTTGTGGTCTACAGTAAAAATCCAACATTACATTGAAATACATTTTTACTTATTTATCTATTTTGTGCTTTTCGTGCTAAAGTAAAAGAATAAAGGGTTTCCAGCTCATTTATCTCTTCTAAATGGCTGAGAGTGTTAGACTATAACAGCTCTCTTCCTCTCTATTACTGCATAAATTATTCCAGAGATTTTAAGGATATGATTCAAACTTTTATAATCAGAGAAATTTTAATATCTTTACTTGGAAAACAGGCATGAAAATGTGTTTCTGATTAGTGGTCTTGGTGCCTACTGTATACTGTTTCACCCTCAGACCTGAGCTCTGCCCACAGAGCCTCCATAAACCTCTCACCCTGTAAAAAAAGAAATCTCAAAGCTCCCCTGTGTTTTGCCTCCCCTTAAGAGCCAACCCTCTCTGATAATGACCTATTAGAGACACACTCTGTTCTCCGCTGTGCTCGCATGTGCACGTACCTGAAATGTTCTGACCTCCAGCTTTAACCTGTCACTACCACGCAGCATGATTGCGGGAGCGAGGAGGAAAACAAGAGTACGGTAAATCACTGCTGGCTCAATAAAAGACACCTGCAGTGTAAGAGGAGATGCAGGAGGGAGAGGTAGAACACCAGGAGAGCTGCCTGATCACTACCAGACACCGAGGAATCTGCGGAGGTCCCAAAGAACCGTAGCATGAAGATGTGGGATTGGACACCTTTTCCAAAATGTGTTATACAAAAAGGCTTTTAAAAACTTTTTCTGGATGCAGAGTCACAGAAATGTCTTGTTAAACAATGTTGTGTTTTTGAGCAGGATGCAACATCCAGTTTGTCCAGGATGCAAGTTTTTGCACCGTGTTCCTGTGTCATTATGCTTCATTTACAGCTACCCAAACATAAAATGTGTTGTTCCCATGTTAAAAGCACACTTTTTTTCCTTGAATGGAACGATTTCACTCTTCAGCAGGTAGTGACAGTGTGTCGTAACTATGTGTTCCAGCTGCAATGTCAAAGAAGAGGAGCAAAATAAATGCATATGAAAAAAGTGAGGTGATTCAAAGAGAGAAAATCGGTTCTGGTTCAGGTGTATGAAAACCTGGAAAAACTAATTGAACTTCTGAATGGGACAAGTCCAAAAGAAAGATAAGGTGAACTCAGGGAAGCGAGGAAGAGGGAATAAAAGAAAAAAAAGTGAAGAAAGAGAGCGCAGACTGAAGCCTGATCACTCTGTAATCCCATAATCCCTGGCAGGCAGGCAGGATGTAATTGCTCGTTAGTGCCAGTTTCCACTCTGAGGCCTGTCACTGCTTGAAAACCGCAGAGCGCCGGCGAAATGAGAAACAGATAGCAGGTCCCATGCCTCAGTTCAGATAGGTGGAGAGGCCCCCCACCCCAACGACCCCAAAACACACACACATGTGCGCACACACTGACAGATGCTTCTTAGTCTGTCGCTACTTTTTCTTATAATCCTTTCACTGCTGCAGAAACACATGATAAAGCCGATGTGTGTTAATTCCCCACACACTGTCAGGACACACACACACACACACATATGCAGGGGGCCGGTGAAATCAGAGGTGTGGATACTTCACAGCCTGGAGGAGGATGGTGGAGAGAGGAGTGAATCTGTATGATCTCACTGCTCTCTGTGTGTCTCCCACCAGGAGGTTTTATTAAGGAGCTGACAACATGTGAGCCTGGGGGTGTCTACGATTCTTTCAGGCCGGTACGAGACACTGAGGCACAGGAGACAAACATGCAGGGAGGGACTCTGGGCTGAACAGACTTTGACGCAATGATATGCAGAGTTTTGTTAATCTTAGAGACCTTGATGACCTTGACTTTTTTTGTTTTTCACTCACCTTAATCAGGTAAATAAAACCAACTTTTCCACTTTAGTGTATTTACACCAACTCAACTGCAGCAATGATTTAAACAGTTTCTGGTCTAGCAGACACTTTTAATCCAAAAGCTTCAGATTCTTTTTGATCTCCAAGAATTTTTATCAACAGGCAGAACAAACATGTCTCTAAATGCTGTAATCATTAGAGTGACATGAAGAGTTTGAGAGCGGCTGCTACGCTGGATCCAACATGACGTTTAGTCGTTAGTTAGTCTCAGTGTGGGGGTGTTCTGGACAGAGAAGATAGCCCCCATACAAGAGGCCATAATATGGTTAGGGTTAGGTCTACTTATGTGTGTGTGTTTGACTTAGAAAGGTCAGTCAAGGTCATTTTATGAATGTATGTTAAATTAATTTCTGCACTTATTTGCTTTTGCTTTTTTTTTTTTTAAGGTAGAGGTCAGGAATCACAATCCCTAAAAAAACTTTTATTTAAGAGACTTCACAAATTAAAGCCAAGTTTTTGTTTTTATTTGAATTTTATTCCTCAAGAAATTGTTTTTCAAGTATTTAATTACATTTAGAGTCTTTTAAATTATTCCTGTGACTGTTAGTTTGTATTATCTTCCCTTTGTTTGACTTTATGACCTGTCTGTTTTATTTTGCTGCCCTTGTAGCACCTGATGTTTGAAAGACCTCTATAAATAAATGAAGTTATTATAAGTATTATTATTGTAAATCATTATTTTTATTATTATTACTACAATTTTTTATATATAATTTGTTTTATTTGTGTTTGTTCTTATCCCCCATAAAGCACGTTGGGTGTACATGTTTAAAAAGTGCTTCACAAATAAAATCCAATTCGATTCAATAACATGGCCCTCTGGTTCATTATGATGCACAGATATTTAGCACGCCACAGTATGACTATCAGAACAACAATTGGTGCTTTCTTTAAAATAAAGTCATTTAGGATTGATAGGTGAGCCGGTTCAGACTGTTCCACATCAGTGGCAGCCATCTTTCAAAAGTGTCAACAGTGCTTAAACATGCCGTGTGTTTGATCAACAGTTGTTGTTGGTCTGACCTGAATCAGGTCATGTAGAAATGTCAAAACTAAACAACTTAAACATGACTCAGCTGATTGGACTGGTTTCCAGCTGCTCTTGTATGCGGTGCTTATTTTAGCATTTAACTTGCCAGAGACGTGGGTGGAACAACACGGTACTTTGTAAACTTAACTGTCTAATGCAATCAACCAACATGTCACCATCCATACTAATGACATCCAAACTTATAATTTATCATGACCCTGTGAATAAAACTTCTTTAGAGTAGACATTGCCTCATTAAGAGATTGTTTATCATGCTTTTATTTTGATATTATTTTTGTTGTACAGGTTGCTTTATTGTAAAACTGTGCTTTTATTTTGAGGTTTACGACTTCTAGTAGGTCCTTAAGTTACAGAGATGAATGAAAACAAAGGAACAATTAGAAAGTATAAAAGTTCAGCTGATTACTAACCTAAAGAGGCACAAACTTTAAGGTTGTTTTTGGATTCATAGTAAATCTTGAACATCAGCTCCAGTCGTGTCTAATCATCTCTCAGACGGTTGTTTCAGCTAACTCATCAGCACTGCTACTACTTCCGCTACTTCGCTACTTCCTCCTCTTTATCCTCTGTCTTATGACATGTGGCGTCCAGCATAAAGAAGCGCTACCATTAAGTCATTTGATTAATTTAAGCTTATCTTGTAGCATGGCATCAATACTTCTACGTTTCTTGTTTTAAAGACTGTTATCATCAATACCAGTGTACTGGGACAGCCCTGCTTTACAGTCTATGGTTTCCACAGTATGAGGACCAGCTGTTTTCCTCTCTTCATTTACTAAGATTTTGTCAATTGAGACATGACGAAACATTTAGAAAGCATGTCATCATTTTCTAATATTTAACAGATTAAATGATAAATTGAATGATTGAAAACAGTCGATTAGTATAATCAACGCTCCTCCATCCCCTCACTCTGTGAGTTGTAAAGCGTCAATACTAAATCGATGGGTGTTGACATAATGTGCTTGCGCAGCCAAGACATGCCCAGAAGCCATCTGACTGGTGGTGGTGCCACAGCTCCCGTTGACCCAAACACACATTAGACTTACTGATGAGACGTCAAATATCAGATTAGCTCAGTCCACAGGAGAGCAGAAGTTCACACTCACACTTATGAAGAGTTAATTTAGTGTGTTGGTGTTTGTTAGGTTATTTCTCGCAGTTTCTCCTCCACTCTGCTAATCCAGAACAGAACGCTGCAGGAGCTGTCAATTCATCACCTTTTAATATGAAATAACGATTACCTGAACTTAAATCAGCATGAGAACATTAACTACTAAATGACAGAAAACTTGTATGAAAAAACAAAAAACATAATTGGCATCAATTTTAAAGTTTGACCCAGCCGATGGTTGCAACACAGCTGTTTTTAGCACAAAGGACAAAATCTGATGAACAAAGTGGAGCACTCAACATCAAAAAGTCTGGATGTTTTTGAGGTAAATGCAGTAAAATTAAGTGAATGTCTAACTAGTGTACAAAACAAGCCTCCATACTGATGTTGCTTTGTTTCTACTGGCTGCTTGACTGTCACACCTTTAGATTTAAGGTGGATCTCAGCTTGTTTAGGGTTAACAGACGTCAAGGCGAACAGTCTATTTTAATCTTTGCCTCTAGGGTTACAAGGCAAAGGCACAGCCTGGACCTCATTAGAGGAAAACTTATTGATTGCCTCATGATGAACCTTCGTGATTAGTGATTTACCTCACTGACCCTGCAGCCATATTTACACACCAAAGAGAGAAGCTGCAGAGGAACGTGTCTAATGGCTCCTCAGTGGAATAAATGAAGCACTTGTGGTGGAGAACAATGTGTTTGAAGTGAATCAGTTCTGGATTAACGCCCTCACACATGCAGGTTCAAGTTGCCAAAGGTTGTGTGGAGAGTTACAGCAGGTCATTAAAGCAGCAGGATCAGCAGGTCACCAAAGGCTCTGTAAAGTGCACATTTGCATGGGGTGTAAAAGTGTCATCTGTGACCAGCATGTTAACCTCCAGCAACACGGATGGTGTTGTTACAAACAGCAGAAAAGGAGGAAATAAAGTGAAAGTTATTGTCTCAGCTACTACAGACAGCTGGCTGTACATAGAAAACACATGCTCGCTCCGAAGCATCATATCTGCCTCAAGAGTTCAGCTAAAGTGGAGTCATGTGACAACAACAATATAACTGCTGTCTTTAACAGTACAAAGTGTGTTGAGTTAGTCGCTCGCATATCTATGACACTCCCTCAAGCTGGCTTCAGACATACAAATCAAACCCTTCCTCCTTTACGATCACACATTTCTGCTCTGCTACATGCCTGACTAACCACTACCTGTTGGGTACTTCTACCATTTACGTCATTGCTGGTTCTGTTGTTGACAGACAGTCGGCTCCTGCCAGGACCTCATGCCTCCCTTTAAACATGTGAATTTGAATCAATCAGCCAATAACCTCTCAGTTACACTATAAAGAAAAAGAAAACACAACAATCATCAATCTGCCACTCAAACATAGAGCTTCACTGGTTTGGCGTAACCTGAAATCATCTGTAGAAGTTTAGAAGTTTTGTGACACCATCACTGTCTTCACAAAAAGGATGAGACCTAATGATATCATTATATCTACTGAACAGTGTACGTACTGTAGCTTTTACCCCAATACTTTGTCCACTTCGGTAATTATGATAAAGAACTACCTGAAATCATTGTAGAGCCTAAGCCAAACGTCATAACAACAATGGGACAAAAGTATTTCGACAATCAATATTTTAATAAAGATGGTACCTGTCAGCATCAGTATGACAGCCTGAATTTGAACCCTTTAATCTGCAAGCCTCTGTAGTTTCAGCTGTATTAAGATAGCTTTGACAAAAGTTTAAAGGCTGAACTAATCATTAATTTTAGGTCACAATGATTGCGCAAATGACGACATGAAAAAACATTCATTCTTTCATAATGAAGCGGAGAATTTCCTCCCAGTTCAGCAGTTTCATTCAGTTTAATGTAAGATTTCAGCATCTTTATTGGACCCATACCTGTACTGTGTGCTTCACTGTCTGACTTCTCATCTGTGTCATCTTAATATCTGAACCGCCTTCTTCTGAGGCCCAACACTTTAAGTGCATACTCCATGAAAAGCTGTAGACTGCATGGGTCACTAGTTTGACTCCTGGCCCCCAAAATAATTTTTAGGAACCTCTGCCTTTACTCAACCTCTGAAACTACTTGTTAAGATCACACTACATGAAAAACAAAACACATTGAATTTACACCTTTGCATCAAACTTACTTCAGAGGAATGTTGTTGTAATCATCGTATCAAATCTGTAAAACCAAAATACACAGGCCATCAAAATATCCGAACCTTCTGACCCTGATTTCAACCACGTTTTAGTGTGAAAATCCTGGTTAGTTCTCACTGGAGATGGTGGGGACAAAAGCAGACCCAACAGGAGACTGATAGTGGATGATGGTGTTTCCCACTGGGCCATAAAATCCACTTTATATTGAACACAAATGTTGGCATGTAAGTGCACAAAAGGGCCTGAAATATACACATATTTGCAGAATATGGGACATGACTGAACTGACTGGGTCTTAGACTTTGGCATTGTGATTTAAATAAACATAAACCTAACAAAATGAATATGATGAACATAAAAACAAGATCCAACTCAAATAAACTTATGATAAACTGCTAATACAAAAATATTCAACATCAAAAGTTTCCAAACATTTTAAGGTACAGAAGGTAATGATAAAGAAGGTGAAAGACAGTGTAATGAACCTGCTGTAAGATTTTCCACATCAGCAGAACCTTCAGCGATGTACAACAGCCTCTACAAGATTAAGAGCGCAGGGTCACTGGAAAGTTTAGCTAATGTGCAGTTAGCACCAATTAGCCACACAGGAACCCACGATGCAACAGACATATACGTGTCTTGTGACCCGATCAGGAAAATTAAATAAGACACCATCATCCTCAGTGCATGGAGTGTTTTTCCCACGAGCTCTGAGATGAAGACAACTTCCTGATGTGACACATCTGTGTGTCCTCACTGTCTCCCTCCTCTTCTCTGTGTCTCTGGCTGAGGCCGTCTCCCCATGTCCCTGACCCTAATAACCCAAATTCCTGCCTGATTAAGTTGGTTTTAAAAGGAAGCCACACAGAGAGCGGTTGGGTGAGCCTCACCTTAAATGGGAACACATTTTAGCCGCGTTGAAGCGATGATCAGAGGGTAGGGTTTCACTTTCCGGTGTTTGTGAGGACGGCGGCACTTAAAAGGCCGGAGAGAAGACAGATAAAAAAAATGCAGATGGATGAAGATGGAGTTGTAAAGCGGAAAATCAGCGCAGAACAACTTTAACTTACTCTTTTTTAAAAATCTGTCTAAATCTTACTCAAACACTCTTTGTACTGACATTCGCACTACATACAAACACTCAAAATCCCACACATTTCTCACAGAAGTCCTCACACTCACCCGCAGAAATCCCCTTTCCCGCCATTCATCCACCCTGTGACCTTTTCCTGCTCCCATCTCATGTTGTTATTTCTCCAAATTAAGCCCACACTGAGCCCGAGAGTAGCAGTCAGAAAAGTGGCCATCTGTGACACACTCACACACACACACACTCACACACACATTGGTCATTATGACTGTGTCTTGTGGGTGAACCAGCGCTCTCCAAAGTGTTTCCGTGTCGCCCGCTCGTGCCCCAGACAGGCTGCGTTTAATGACCTGGCCTGATAGTTCAAAGTGGCCCCTCAGACGCTGTGATTAATGAATCTGACCCGCTAATTTCAGAAGAATACAGCTTATTGTATCAAAAAAACACCACAGCAGGCTAGTTAACATTCTTCAGTATTTTGAGAAAAAGTTGTTTTAAGGAGTGAGATTTTACGATAAGGACAGGAGTTTGCTTTATGTTTCATCAGCGGCTCCAAAGTATTAACTGCGCCTTTGTTCCAAATGATTTAAGCTGTTTGAACTCGAAGAAGTCAAAGTGCTCGACAACAGCGAACAATTCAACATCAGAGGCAGAAATTATTCCCCCAGTGTGCTTACACGAGATTGTGCCACACTACAAAAGCACAAACGCGGTAAACAGAAGTAGCATGGGAAGCATTTGTTTGAAAGAATACATCTAACAAATTGAAATTCCTTTTTGTCGGATCATGCCTCCTTCAATTTGCCCTAAAGGAATCACTGTGGCTCTCCGCGTACTCTAAGCACTTCCAGATTGGAGTTGCCCTGTGGCACTTTCAGGTTGCATAATCAATCTCTCTCTCTTTTTCTGCAGACTCTCCATTAGTGAAGGGACAACCAGAGTAACATTAGACAGCAAGGTTGAGACACGGCCAAAGACAAGGCTCACTGCACCCCATCCACATCCATCTTAAACTGACACATTCCCACCAACCTGAAGAGACTCAGCCCAACTTTGCTGCTGACTTCACCCATCATAGAGTCTGATGCTTTCAATGCCTCCAACAACTCTGTGCCAATTAAAAGTTTGCCATATTGGCACCAAACTCCTCTATAAATGTTAACATTTCTTTTATCACGACTTCTGAGAGCTCTCAGGTTTGTCTTGATGATTTCAAGTGAGTAATTTTATGAAACAATCTAAGTTCTTTTACAAGCAATCAGGATCTATCTGTTTTTTATATGCGCTGAGCTTACTGAGCATAAAATTTTACAACCTGAGAATGTAAACAGAAGTTGATTAGGAAGTCAAACAATGTCGTAAATTTGTTCAGTAGTAGAAAAAAAAGAATTACTGAACGAACATTGTGTTGAGTGCTGCTCTTTAAAAGTAATTCAAACTGATTGTAACACCTTGGTAATTGCTTTTAGGACTCATATAACACATACTTGATAAACACACTCATTGTAAAGTTAAACTAACAGCACAAGCTAACTCTCCCAAGCTAACTCTGTTGAAGGATGACACAGGACAAAAAGATGAAAACTAAGTCTACCTACAACAGTTTGGTCAAAGTTGGTCTGGGCTTACAAATTATATTCATGTCAAATACTCAGTAAAGCAATGGGTAAAAACCAAGCTAGCTAGCTAGCAGTAAATACTTAAATTACAGATTTTGCATACCAGCTGGTTTATTTCAAACTCATACTGTAATTTACTGTAATTTATTGATATATCCGCAATTTCAACATAAAAGGTTCTTTAACATGCACAATACCATGAGTATTTGGTTGATTATATCGGTATTTTTTTCATGGCTCAATGTTAAGACATGGTGTTATATTTGATGGAAGCAGAAGGAGGGACAAACATGAGCAGAGACTTTTACAGCCCAACAAATCTTGAGGATTGAAGCCCCCGCAATCTTAGCTGAACATAACTAAGCACAAAATAAAAAATTAAAACTAGTCCAGCTGATTTTATTTCTCAATGCCAAAAAGTATGAATAGGAACTCACTATATCTGACAGTTTGCCCATGATAACTTAAATGTCATGATACTACAGCAGTTCTGAAATAATCACAGGATAATCATGTGATGATACTTCATGATATCTGATAAACTGAGGAATACAAAATGTCCCCAAAAGCTAAAGTGAGGCAAGGGGAGTCAAATCTGAGAGGATATATGTTAAGAGAGACATAATTAAAGATTAAAATATAAACATTTGGCACCAAAAAAACAATAATTACAAGGATGACAGTATATTGCTCAAATTAAATGGGCATTGTTTCATCGTTTAATTTCTGTTTTTTCCTTTTTTTGTTTCAGTTTACTTTTATTATGACTTTTCCCTCAGTTTATTACCATGTGGGATCGGATGAATTTTGTGTTTTTTATTTCTAATTTGTTTTTTAAAAATAAATCTTACATGAAAACTATTTCTGGAAGCTCCTGTGAGGATTTTTTTTTTTTTTTTGGACATCTTTGAAATAAATTGAATTTTGAATTGATTCCTTTTATGACATTCAAAAATGAACATCATCATCAGCCTCAAGAGTCAAGATTTTTGCTTCCTGAAAAACTGGTGCAGTTTAAACAGGAAAAATATTTCTCTGAGTATCATGTCTTTTAACAACTTTTAGGAATTAATAACAGCTGGAGTAGAAGGCGAATAGAACATGTTTACAGAAACAATTTCCTCAAAAATGTTATTGCTATATGTTTTTTATGGCTGGTATAAATGAAATCTCGATGACAGGTTTATGCTGGCCTTCGCAGAGTTTGACAACAGAAAACAGCATGAGAAGAAACGAAGGCTCAAACCCATAACACTGACTAACAGCACGCTAGCTCTCGTAAAGCCACATGCCAGTTAAAACAAACCAGACCACACATCAGGAGGCTGCTGCTACAGGCTACACACCGGCCCGCTGTACCTGACCCTTGGCAGGGCTGCTGACCCTGTGACCTTTGACCAGAGGAAGTGAAAGCTGTGGCGGCGTGACGGCCGAGTGTGAGATGCCTGAAGCAGAGGTGATGCTCTTATGTTGGAACCTGAGAGCAAACTGGCGATTTTGGATGACACGGGTAAAGAAAAACAAGGTTGTTTCACGACATGTTTTCACACAATTTACAGGCATTTAGAGGGAAACATCTGCTGGGGATGTGTGACATGTCTCAGGTCGATCCAGTCCAGATGCATCAAGTACAGCAGCTTTGATATGTTTCAAAAGAGCGATGAGAAAAAAGGACTCCTGACATCAGAGGGCAGCTTTTGCCGTTGTATGCACATGACAGAGTGAGTCAGTGGGCAACTGAGTCAGAGAGCAAGAATGAAAGTTCATCCACTCATCAGGGTGACACATCTTTTACTTTGTGGACAAATCCGGACAAATGCGCTGTTTAGGAATGGAAAGTACCACAGACTGAAATCTTACCTGCTAAAAATAAAAAATAAAAACGGTTGTAAACTAAAGTGGTCTTGAGTGGTTTTGTCAAAACACCTGTTTTAATCACTTTGCTTTTATTTCCATAGAGCAGACTCAGAGCAGCAAAAGTTACCTCATGACTCCAGGACCTGCTTTTAACAACTTTTTTACAAAGTGACCTGACAGTAATCCACCAATAAGCATGTACTTCACATCTGTGCCAACGAAAAACTTCCTTTGATGGGCAAAGACCTCCAGCAGCACCAGACTCATGGGTGAACAGTCAAGTATCTCAGAGGTGCTGGAAAGGAGGGAAATGGATGCAGCTGTGTGTTTGTGTTTGTGTTGTGTCTGTGTGTGTCCCTAACTTTGATATTTAGATTTGCAGCCCACCACCACCACAGCAGAGGGTCACACTTGAAGACTTCCTGGCCGCCACTGCTTCCACCTCACACACTTACAGGCACACATAATATCCCTGTCACTCTGATTTACATTCCTCCAACATTCAGAGTCACCTTCCAGCACCTTGTAAAGAGTCCAGACAATAAATCAGAAAACTTCACTTCATAAACTCACAAAGACCAAACACCTCCTCTCAGACAGGGTTTCACCAACACCCCCAATAAACACTAAATTAAGTCCCAAACTGAATCCAGGTCACGTTAACCCCAAGCAGTATAAGAGGAGTCTAAAACAGCTGGCAGGTGCGTGCGAGGAGATCAGAAAAGAGCCGCTGATGTGAAAAGAAATGAAACATCAAACAGCTTTTTCAGTGTTGTCACAGCAAACATGAAGACAAGAGAGCAGGCCTGCTTACACAGCAACATCACGCATAAAAATATGATCAAATACTCCTCTGAAAGACTTTGGTATTGGCTTCAAACTTTGAACTATCTTACCAGCTGTCCTGTGCGCATTCAGCTCCAAGTGCGCACCGGGGGAGACCAGAGAGCCGCTTCTTATTCCCCGCCTGGTGCGGCTCATGTTTTCGGCTATCCATACGCAGCGTCGTGGCATGTTTTGCGGATCACTGTAACGGCGTGTGAGCGTTCAAAGCAAACGGTCTCCACTGTGGCTGAAGCATACATGAAGAATCCATCTAAAGCGGCTCTGCCTCAACACGGAGAGGCGCCTCCTCCACCTCGTTTTTTACGCAGCCAAAAATCTTTCTTTTTTTTACTCTGGCCACTGTCCTGCCACGGCTGCTTGCAGAGTCTCAGCACCCTGGACAAAACACAGAGGGTGTAAAGTGAGTTGGATTCATTTTGCTTAAACAAATATGATGTTTTATGAATAAAAGATCCAGCTTTGGTGAAGAGGATGAGATAAATCACACATTTAAGCAAATTAAGCATACTATGTGAAATCTCTCAGGTAAAATTTGTTATTTCTTGTCTTGTTTTAAGAAAACTGACCCCCCTAAAAAAACCTTGCATAGAAAATATTTCTCAAACCTATCTCCAGTTTTAAAAGAACGAGTATTTTAGGGGAGAATGCGAGACCAAATGAGCTGTTAAATTGACATTTTTGCAGATGGCAAGTTATCCAGGTCAGGAAAAATAAACTTTACAGCTGAGTGGCGCATGCAGCCTAAAGCCCATATAAAACCTAATTAGGCACAAGTTTGCTTGCAGAGACATAAACACCACAACACGGCGGACGAAACAGAAGAACACACAACCACACAGCGCTCAGAAGTATAGTAAATGTTTGTCCTCAATCTGCTACTCATGCCGTCTCCTGCTGACTCACGTCCAATCAGCGTTTAATGAAATGAAGCCAGTTTTTCAGGCATGACTCCCCTCTGCTTACCTTCAATAACCTGTTCAGTCTTGCCTCCAAACAGCTTGTATAGTTAATGAGTAAATAACTCCGCAGGAAATTTCTCACAACATGTTCGGCGTCTGAACTCAAGGTCGTCTCAGAATCACAGCGTCCAGGGAAAGACTGCGCGCAATCTCCAAATTTGGGACCAAAACTGCAGATGAACCTGGTTTTGTTCTTCTGAAACGTGTCAGCTTGTCTTGAAGCGGATTTCAACGTCAAGTACGTCAAGATCTCTCGTCAAAATCCTTGCTGTGAGAGTAAGAAGCCCATGTGTCACGCCTTTACGCAGCTTCAATCTCCAACAAGCGCGTCTCTCTTTAAAAACTCTTTGACTTTGCACTCAGGTATCCAGTTATCAGAGACTGTGCCGCCTCGGTGTCTTCTCAGGAGTCTACTACACAGCTACTAAACAATGTCTACAATGCCCCGCAGGACTGGAGGCTATGCGTAAAACAGCGCGCCGCTCCGCCTGTCAGAGACTGTGAAACCGGAGCGCTGCTGTACAAAGTGCTGTGATTTTTCCTCCCCATCTACATAGCTCAGATGTCTTTTTGTTCGTGCGCTGAGAGGAGGGAGAGAGGGAGGGAGGGGAGGGATTGTCACACAGGATTGTCATGTAGCGTTTCTGAAGTGTTCCAGGCTGGTGATACATCAGTCCAGTTTGCTCTGACACACTCATAGATGTCAGTCTAATCCACTTGTAGGTGCACACACTGACAGTGCCAGTTTGGATGGGCTCACATGCATGGACGGATTTTGATACGATTGGCCCCTGGGCACAGACATGTAAAGGCCCCCAACCCACCTATAGAGAACCATGACAGCCAGACTGAAGGACACACAAAGGGCTGTGAAATGATCATAAAAGGCGAGGATACAACTATTTGTAGGCCATTTGTATCACTTGGGATTTCTTTACAGATAATTTGTATGCCTTTTTTCTGACTTTGTGTCTCTTTGTAGCCAGTACAGACTGTTTCACTTTGTTGTCTCGTGTTTCTTGAGGTCCTACAACGTTTTTGTAGTCGTCTTGTAGTGGGCCTTTACTGCTATTTGATAACTGTAATAAACGTTTTTTTGGTGTCTCCTTGTTGTTGTTTTGTATCATTTTGCTTCTTGTTTACACCACTTTCTGGTCTTTTTGAATTGAGTTTTGTTTTCTTTCTTTGGTTTATGTTTTTTTGTCTGATTTTCTCTCTGTTACTTTGTCTTGATTTCCTTAAATTTTTTGACCTTTTTTTAGTCATTATAAATCTTACCTCTCTGTTCTCTCTCTTTTTTCTTCTTTTTCAAAAAATATCTAAAGTGTTTTGTGGCCCTCAGTCACTATTATTTTTCTGTGGATTTACTTGTGTCCCTTCAGTCCCTGTTTACATCTTCAGGTGAATTTATTTGACCTTTGCTATCTTTTAGAGACTACTTCTTTGTTTTGTTTAATTTTTGTATATCAACATCTCTTTGATGGAATACTAGGGCCCTAAATTAAAATCATCACAAAATAATTTCGAATAATTTTATAGTAAATCTTTTTTTATTGGAATACAGTTGCAGTAAAGTCATACCAGTCCAAGAATAATGTAAGAAAATTAAATCATAATGTGAGGAGATTGAAGTCATATTGTTAATAAAACAAAGAGAATAAATGTGGAGCATCTGGTTAAATTGTCCCCAGTGTTCTGGCTCCACTACACTGCAGTGTAATTGGTATCAGGACGATGATGAATTTGTACAAAAAGCTTAGACTTGTGGTGTCCTCCTCTAAAATAAGATTGTGGCTAATCGCTTACAAAACTAATGACTTTATTCTCGTCAGCAAATGACTTACATTTTTCAAAACATCTTACTTTCTTTCCCTTCATGTGGCCCTTATACTCCATCATATTTTTACGTGTTCAAATCACGTTAATGTCTTTTGAGTCTAGTGAAGATTATTGAAACATATTTAAGTAGTTTTTCTTGGGTCATTTCCCTCGTGTCTTTTACAGTTTATTTTTGTAATAGCACTGTTTTGTATAATTTTGTCCCTTTGTAGTTACTCTAGAGATCTTCACACTTTCTGTCAGTAGTTTGTTGTCACTGTTCAATGTTCAATAAGAAGTTCTTGCGTTTGCTTCAAAAGCAGCCAGTTACTCTGGGTCTCTTTAGCCATCCCAGCACTTGGGTCTGTCTTATTCCCCTTATTTAAAGTCTCCATGTGCTTTGACATAATTGATTGAATGCACCTGTAGGCCTTTCCTCTGTACACAGACTCACTCACATTTGTTTACCACCCGGATTCTCATGTTTGTTAGTCCTGTCTGGGTCTCTCTGTGTCACCTACTATCAGACCTGAAGAAAGAGCAAAGTGTCCGCACTCTTCTGACAAACCACAGACTCCTGCTCACTTCATCACAAAGTAGCCCTCTCACTCTCACCCATCACCATGCATGCATGCATATCCTCCCACCTCGCTCCACCCACCCACCCTGTGCGGCACAGAAAAGGCCCTCCAGCTGAGACACTCCCTGCAGGGCAAACACCGAGGCCCTCAGAGCACAAAGGCTGGGTAAACAGCTCCTCAGTTATGTTCTCTGGGCCCACTCTCTGCACAGAGGCAGAGAAAAATACAGGGAGGTTCCTGGTCTCTGCCAGGGCGCTATTAATAGAAGCAACAAACAGGGCAACAATGCACACAGCTGAGGTGCATGACATGAAGGAATGTACAGTCAGATAATGAAGATGAGTACAATAAGAGGAAGAGAGAGGAGACATCTATACGGTCAGGAGAATCTATTATATGTGGGATGTGATTTAGATGTGTCTCTTTCTATTGGCCCAAAAAAGTCTGTTTTACCCCCACATACAGATAACCACATACCTAATTTAGTAATGCATGTGTCCATAACATCCTCAATATGAAGAATCTGTGCAGAATGCATCAGAGGGCACCATAATGCAATCAGGGCTGCACATTTAGAAAGTGTTTTCTTCATCCATCACCATGCACAATGGTGATGAACTTGTTCTGAATTGTGAGAGAGATTTGCAGCATGACACTGTTCATACACCTGCAGTTCAACCCCATGCAAGCAAAACACACATTTTCACCACAAACACACACATACAAGTTTAATATTTTAATTTCTCTCAAAGAATAGAAAGCTGATTCATGAGGTGAGTTTTTTTCACACAAAAGTTACGAGGTTATTAGATCATAATTATTTTGTTGTTTCTGAGAAAAGCCAAACTTTCTGTTCTCCAACAATGTCTGGTGCTCTTGTGCATGTGCGTTGCCTGTTTTAATGGAAACATGGTGCTGTTTGACATTTTGGAGCAGCTGACTTCATCAAAGTTCAGGGCCTGCAGGGGGAGAGGATGGGTGGTTTGAATATAAGCGGTAATTCTAAAGGGAGAACTCGGAGACAGACAGGAGATATGAGGTTGAATTTTCCAGCTGTGACAGACAGATTTAGCCTAGTATTAGATTTCCTCCATGATTTCTCTAGTTTCTTCTCCAGGCACAGGTTACTGATCTCATTGCATGACCTTCCTCCTCATCCAAAGGTGTCTTTCTTTTCTTGGGCGGGTTCCAGCTCCGAAAGTTTGTTTTCACTTTTCAAGAGTGAACTCCCCTCATCCTGCACACTGTCCAAACCCCCCAGGCCAAATCTGTAAAACAAATCTGCAGGACAAAGTCAGACTTCAGCTGGAAGAGCAAATGACTAAACGCTATAACAACATGTTTCCACATTAGCTCGATCGAGCGAGCACAACATCAATAAATCTACAGTAATTTACATTTCATCAGAGCATTTCAAAGCTACGGTCCTGCAGGCGTCCTCCAGATTTGTTGTATCACTGTTCATATAAACAAATCATAAAGCAAAGCATCAGCATGTGGCTGATTAGAGGCTGTATTGTGTGGATGGATGAAGGCCGAGTACAGTGAGGAGTCTGCAACAGTGCGGACTGCTGAGATTTCACTCTGTCACTGTGGCCTTCACCTTATCTTGAGGGAGTGCAGCTGAAATGATAAGTTACACAATCAAACATGAATCATGATGACTCTGATAAATAAATTATTTTAGGAGCCTAATTTGGGAAGCCTAGTTTAAGTGCTGTGGGCTAATTACTAGCATCAGCATGCTAACCCACTGAGCAATAGGCGGCTATTAGACTATCTATATTTTTTTTTTCAAACCTAATTTTAACCGTCTAGATTCTGTATATTTTTAGACGGAATTTAGACGTTGCACTTTAACCCATTATTCGATCACTATTTATTTCAAAAAGCAACTATGAGTTGCATAACTGATCTCCAAGTACTTAACCAAAACAATTATGATAGCCGTTGATCAACATACAGTCAGACCTCTGTTAGCTGGCTCATCTAAATTTGGTCTGAATTTAGATATCTGAAAAACTTTCATTTTTAAACCTGTGGTAGCCTGATTTTAGAGCAGTCATCTACCCTACATTTAGATGTCTATAAGACCTCTTCTAGACCAAAAAGTGCTCAGTGGGAATACTCAAAGTCATAATGCTATGGTGATTTGTTCATTTCATAAGTTCATCGTGTTATCTGGCTTATATCATCTTGCACTGAAATCCCAACGTTAGCTACCAAAGTAAACAAAAACATCCAGGGCTGATGGGTGTGCCATTAGTTATATTTGTTTGTGTTTTGACAACACGGCACTGTTGTAAGGGATAATGTGTGGTGACTGCATAATTATGCAAAGTAGAACACTCAACAGGTCAAGAAGACAATCAGAATCAGAATCTGAATACTTTATAAACCCCGGGGAAAGGAAATGCAGTCATTATAGCATTACACTTGCTCGAGAGTAGAATAGAAATAGGAATGTATAAGAATAAATAAAAATTGCAATGGTTACTAAAATAATGTTGCAAAACCCTGATGCTAAGTCTCCTCTTGTCAGGATTCTATTTTTACTATAAATTATATTTTTTATATCCTGTTTATTACCAAGCAGGAGCCCCCATTCCTTAAAGGGGAAGCTGGACTGTTAAAATCTGCAGTTCCCCGAGAGTCCACTTGAGACTGGTTGCAAAAGTACCAGAAGCCACATACACACCCATTAAAAAAACATCTTTACAGCAAAAATGAGCATGTTGACAGCCTGAGGGGAAAAAAAAAAACAAGTTTGGTCTGGAAAGCCCAGTTCTCTAGCTCTACTGTACAGGGTGATTTCTAAAATATATAATTCATTAGTTTGGAAGATGTTAAGGATTAGTGACATCACTCATCGGGGAAACCAATGGGTGATGTCACTAAGATGACATCCATTTTCTATATCAATTAACAAACAAATAACACTATGTATTGATTTAAAGATGATTTTATTGGTTTGACAAAGTTTCTTATGCAGCTCAAAGAATTATTTGTAAGATTCAACAGTTAGTAGTGTCGTCATGGCAACAGTATCAGCCAACTTGCTGGTCAAACAAATATTAAACTTTAAATATTTGCTTTTATAGGGACATTAAGAGGTATCAGTATCAGTTTTGGACTGTTACTTCACCTGTGAAAAATTTCTTATAGTGCCTTTAAACGAGGAATTATCACAAAACAAAAAATTAAAAGAAATTAAAAAATACAAATAAATAAAATAGAGCAGGGTCAGATATTTTAGTAAGAAAGACTACAAACACTCATAAAAAGACAGTAATGACCACTTTGTCCACAGAGGCATCAAGTTAGGGCAGAGTGGAAATTCCTCACAGGAGCTTTAATTCAAAAGCAAAAAAATAATCAATAGTAATAAAAATAGTATACCTCATGGCTGTATAAATGAGGTCACGAGAGGACCAGCAGTTTTGAGACAGATCCTCTGAAGGTGACAAACTTCAGTTTAAACTTTAATACCAGCCAACGGAGCCCAATCTTTTTAGGTGTGCTATCGTAAAGTTGCAAACCTCACTGGCAGAAGCTTCAGCAGTTTGATTCTTAAAACATTTTGTTTAACAGGCAGTTTAAGTTTCCTGTGATTCATGCCTGACCTGATCTACTGGAGGTGGTTTGATGTGACCGAGAGCAGCAGATCAGCTGTCCCATGTTTCTGCAAAAACTTTCCTCTGATTCTTTGTCAACCCGTCACTGACTGGTAGAGAAAACTGAAGGCAATGTAAAGATAGAACTTCAGCTTCTGGGAACTTTCCCCCTACTGACATTTTTACTCTAATCTATTGATTGTTAAGCCAATAAAAATGACTGATAATCTATAGCAAATTCTAAAGATGCCTGCATGTAAACTGTTACTAGCTAGCCAAAGCTAGAGACAGTATCAGTATTTAATGAACGTTACGTTAAATAAATAAATCAGCACTCAACAATGATACATCACATAACTATGAGACTATGATGTGTAAAAGTTGCATAAAAATACATATTTGAACTTGGTCATTCTCATTCTTCATCTTACAGGCCTGGCTGACTGTGTGAAGTGAGTCTGTCATGTGTTTTAACTTAGATGTTTATGAGTTGAATTCTGCCTTTGAGCATTTCTTCTGCTTTATATTTCCATGACAGCAGAACAAACAAACTGCCAGAACCACTAAAAACTTGACATCTTTTATTAATTCAATGTCATCTCTGCAGTGTTTAGTGAAATTGCTCTCACTGATATTCACTGGAAATGATCAGTGCTTGCAGACACTCAGAGGCTGTCAGGACTAGAAGAAACACTCCCTTCAGTGACACAGGTGCATGACGGCCTGTAGGTGTGTCCCATCCAGAGACAAAGGTGAACTGACAGAATGTGGGCCACAGTGTGGAGAGGGAATGTTGTTTTCCCTCGGCTCAGCTGACCCGACGTTGAGTAAACAGAGGGGAAAAAAAGGGAGTCTCAATGGGTGTTTTCTCTCCTCGTTCCAACTTCTTTTTACGAGGAGTTTAAATTTCAGGCCCGGGGGTCGTGGCCCCTCCGTTCCAACCCCTCAGAGAGGAGGAGGGGCGGGGAACCTGTCGCAGAGAATAAAAGGCCTGCTGGCTGAGGAGGTGCAGGCGTGCTTATACCTCTGTCTGCTGGACAGACAGGGAGGACCGCCTCCTGCCTGGCCGGCCAGCAGACAGCTGCCTCAGGGAGATCCCAGGTGGCACATATCCTCAATCCCGCCCGGTGGAGGTCAGGAAATCTGTTGAGTCAGAGTAGTCGGAGAGAGGTGGGTTTTTGCAAGTGGCGATGCATGACTGAAAGTTTCTGGCACCCCATTAACAGCAGGATAGGACGGCCCAATGATGCTTTAAGAGCCCTCAGTGTCTCCTCAACCTCACACCAACACAGCTGGACCAGGGCCCGTGTATTTCCTCGTCTTTGTGTTGATGTTGTGGTGTGTGAAAGTGAGTGACAGTTTCACGGCTGCAGCTGAATATCTGTTTATTGTGTGTGTGTGCAACAGGTTTCAAATGGGTCCCTCATGGAAACAGCAATGAAACAGGATCTGCCTCAGGGCTGAGCAACTGAAGAGAAAGACACACCGGACAGAGATGGGAACAGAAAAAGATAAGAACAGCTGCGGGAGAAAAGTGAGAGTCTGGAGAAGAGGAGACAGCACGGTGGATTCAGGATCAGGAACACTGATTCCTGACACAGCAGGTAGACAAGTGCAGAGCGGAATAAGAAACCCCCTTGTCTTTGCTTTCCTCTTCATCCCTCCTTCATCTTATGTGCTCTGCAGCTTGTGTCCTCTGAGACAACCCTAAGTGACCCACAGACGTATACATATGGTTTCTTAAACTTTAAGGATGCTAGTTTCTGGCACCAGAGTTAATGCTGTGCCTTTAATGCTAATAGGAAAGATGTCTGTCAAGATAACACAGAAAGTCGACTAAATACGTCAAAAATATTTACTATATATACTGAAAATTCACAGTGTACAGATACTTATATACAAAAAGACACATTAAAAAAATGAAATAAACACTGTTGAGCTGTGAAAACATCCATTTGCTCCACAGAAGCAATCAAAAGATGCAAACAACATGCACAGGCAAATATCCATTACAAACGTATTTATTGTGTCGCAGAAAGCCATTTAGAATTTGATATAAAACATGAAACAGTAACACCTTTGACCACTTTGACTTCCCTCTGATGATGGAAATGAAGAAATGTAAAAATAAAGGTTCAAAAGTATGATTGATGATTAAAGCAAATACATTCTGTTTTTAATGAACAGGAAATCTGTAGAGGCAAGTTTGGGTTCAATTCATTTGAACTCCTCCAGCATTCATGTTACCCCAAGACCCTCAGAGGGAAAATACAAGAAAAAAAACCAAGAGGTCCCCCCAACTCAGGATCTGTTCAGTCTCAAATCTTTAAAGACCATACTGGTGGTTTGTTGTGTTTTAGTTTGAGCCTTTGGGACTACAAATAGCACATATTTTACATTTTAAAAGACCCTTATCCAAAATATATCATGAGAATAAATCATTTTGGATTGGGTTTCTACCATCCAGGCAGCTGCTGGTCTAAAAAAATGACCCAACTTTTGCTGTACATGATGTATAGATCTGTTGCAGTTTCACAGGGCACCTTTCAAACTCCCACCTGCTGTTGCATTCAAGGAAATTCCAACATTCAAGCATTAAAGAGGTACTCCACTGATTTGGCACTGCACTAGCACTAAGTCAGGGGTCTAAAGGGTTAGATTTATAGCAGCAGAAAGCAAAATATCCTGACTTTTGCTCCACAAATACGATTCAGGCTCCAAAAACATCCGTTCTTTCCTTTACTCAGACTCCAGGATGAAACTGTAAGACTGTTTTCACCAGCTGAGTGACTCGCAAACCAAACCTTGTGTTAAGTCAGCTGCCAAAAAATCAGGGAATGAATTCAGCAATGTTGCTGAAAAACAACAACCATGGACAAATAAATCTACTCTGTCATTTCTTGCCCTAAAAACATAAAAGAAAAGAAGCAATCACCCTCGTGTATTTGTAGCTGATGAGCTCAAACATTAGAAACCACCAGTATGGAGCTTAATGTTATCGTCCTGGGTTCAGTATAATGCATATAAGACAAAATGACATGTTCTGATTGTGTATCACAGACATGAGGAGTGACTGCTCCGGTTCTGCAGCTGCTCTTCAAGACTGAATGAGCGAGCTGTCGGGTGAACTTGTCAAACTCCTCGCTACAGTTTCCAGGTGATGAGGTGTAAGGCACTGAGAGCGCCTCGTGAAAGTGCAATGTCTGCTGTTCCCTGTACCTTTGCTCAAAAGTGAAACCATTCACGTCTTTCTAAGCCAGAGGAACTGCTCTGAAAGGACCGGTTCGCAGCGTTTTTGTGAATGAGAAAGGCGTGATGGAGAGCTGAACAAAAGCACAGAGCAGCTTACTGACTGACTGACTGAGAGATATGGAGCAAATCTTCCAACATGTATGTATATGTGTGTGTGTGTATTTGTGTACAGTAAAATGCACAACTGAAGAAGTAGAAACTGAGAAGAGTAACATCATCTGACAGAGTATTAAATTCATTGTAACAACAAAAAGCCTGCTTTGGTGAAGCAGTATTGAAATGCACCATGACCTCATAAAGCTGATTATCTCATTCAATGAATAACATGATGAAACTCAACACTGATGACACATTTTGACCTTCTCACGTTGGGTTTTTTTTTTCTAAAGTGGAGGGCAGCAAAAGGTCTGTCCGTGTAACAAAAAGCATGTAACTGAAGATTAATCAGAAAGAAAGTGGGGCAACCGTCCTCTGTAACATGCAGAGGATGAATCAGCATTTTTAATCTAATATCTGTGCTACGGATACGACCACCTTACAGACGATCTCAGTTTTGAGAAATCTAAAGAAACTTGGAATAATCTGTCAGAAAAGAGCGAGTTGTTTTCTCACTCTTGCTGACAGACATTCAACACTGAGCCAATGAAGGAAAAATTCATCAGTGGGGGTCCAAACTTCTTCTGCCGCTAACAGAACGATGATGCAGTCTCTTGGGAAGCACGTGATGGTGATTTCAAACACAAAAACTAACCTTGGTCATCTATTTTTTTTTTTTTTTTCTGAACAGAAACAAGAGAAAGCAGGCCTGCCTGTGACCAAAGCATAGGGAATCTATACCAAAATAAATAATTAAAGTTAACCTCAAAACAAAAATATATATATTCATATTCTACAATCCAAGATCTCACCATTTACCGAAGAACAACAAAATCTGCAGCAACAGAAGTCTGATGGAAAAGGGATCAGACGTACAGAATCTGTTTCTGTACGTCTGTGCTACCGCCTGATGGCTGACAGCTGATGAAATGAAGACAGTACCATGACACGAACAAATGAATGAAAGAGAGGAAGAGGGATTTACAAAGAAACAAAGAGGCAGAAGAAGGACAGAGAGAGAGGCAGAGTTTACCTGTCACAGCTGCTCAACTAGAAAAAAAACAAACAACCCTAAAGAGGAAAATAATTTAGATCAAACTAAATATTCTACACATGGTCTCCTCGTTTTCGTGTTCAATCTGCAGAATTATAATTACAAAAAAAAAAGCTGATTTAGAGTTTTTATTGACAATACTTCTGAATAATTTATCTGTTTTCATCTTTTTTTTTTTTCTTTTCGTGACCTTACCTCTTACGTGAGCGGCCACACAGGGAGAACTGAGCCAACAGCAGAAAGTCACACATGTATAAACACTCTGTGTGGATCCAGCATAACAGGGAGAGACAGAACCCGGCTCATAAAGTCCAGAATAAAAACCTCCTTACAGACCCAAAGACACTCTGACGTAACAGTCCCCTCCTCTGATAAATCTACTATTAACTGGCTTGGCAAGACTTAATTTGGACCCTAGACAGGCAGTATGAACACATGAATGAGTCACTGGACAAATGGACAACTGGTGGTTGTGGGATGGTGGGGTTGGTGATGATGATGGGGGGTGGGCTGCTGCAGCCTGTTTAGAAGCACAGTAAAAATCTTTGATATTTACACTGAGGAAAGTGAATACATTCAGGCAACTCAAGGAGAGGACCACCACCTCTCCTCTGAACGAGGTACGTTTGGCACTGCTGATACTCCACCCATCCCCACATGCTCTCTGTCACGCTCCACTTTTCATTCCTCTCTTTTGTCCCTTTATCAAACTCATCCAGTCAGTCCAGCTTAATCCAGCCTCCTGCTTTTCAGCACGTCATCTCTGCTCTTTCTCTTCATTCATGTGATAGTTGAGTGGGGTGGAAGTGGTAAACGTTGAATTGCGGGGGCCTGCAGAGCTCTCCTGCGACTGTCTCTTGATGAGGACAGGAACAGGGCAGATCCAGTCCTCCCCCCCTCCAGCCCGCTCACCTGCTGCAGTCAGCAGGAGTCTTTGGTTCAGAAGGCACATGTGTGCATCTCTCCACACTCTCCTCTTCGCCTGTCTCTCTCTGTCTTTTTTTTAAATAATCTCCTCGATATGAAAAAACCCAGCAGTGTGCAGGCCACACAGAATCTGAGGGTTCTTTCTCACAGAGTCCATACGTTTCCCTCGCTTCCTGTTCTGTAGTCCCTTTGGGGAAGAGTGAGGGAGACCGTGGCGTGGGTGTAAACTCAGATACCGTGTGTCAGGTCTGTAATGACATTGGCCTTCACCAATTTACGAAGGAACTCCTTCTCCTTGGATATGTTGTGTGTCCAGGACTGTGGAGGGATAAGAAGAAAATCATTCAATCATTCAAGAGGATCTACTTTCAAAAGGATGCTTCATGAACTGAAACCTGCGGCTAACTGCTAGATTTCTCTGTTTCCATTGTCTATACATGTGGGTTTGAACGTTTAGCTCTCCTCCCTGCTGTGCTGTGAGGGTCCCATCCAGCAGGCCGACCTGTAACTTAAGCTGCCGGTTCCTGTGTGGTGCTTTGGGATGCAGAGACTAAGAGAGCGGATGATGGAGGAAGAAACATACAGGAAGGAGAAAGAAGAAAAGAGTTTGAGGAGGTTTCAGCCCCGCAGCTGCCACACTCTGGTCCACAGCATTTAAGCCTGTCAGGGTCAGACCTCCTACCACTATGTAATAAACCACAGCGGGACAAAAAGGGACAATAAGCCTGAAGATTTATCACTAAATACAGAATATGAAGAATGAGGATCGGCCAGATTCAGCACCTAAACCTACGGAAGAGGATTAGGGCCACACGAAGAGAAAAAAAATGACAGGAAGGAGATTAAAGTCGAAATTTCAAGACTAAAAAATCGAAATTATGTCAATAAAGTCAAAATTTTGACATTCAAGTCGAAATTTCGAGATTACAAAAATCTGAATATTGAGATTCAAGTCAAAATTTCAAGATAAGTCGACATGAATAAAATCGACATTTTGACTTTAAAATTTTCGACTTTAATCTCAAGATTTTGACTTAAATCTCGAAATGGAAATTAAAAAAATCTTCCTCCCTTAATTTTTTTTTCTCTCCTTGTGGCCCTTATCCTCTTTCATATAAACCTTACCATGTTAACTCTTCTAAATCATTTAAGTTTTTACAGCCTCAGTAGAATCTCCCGAACATTTCTGAACATTTTCAAAAAACTGCGTCTTTAGCAGAAGAAACTTTATTGACTTTTTTTTATAGATGTGCAGATATTTTTTTTTTCCTGTTCTTCTCTTTGTCGTTATTTTCTTCCTGCTTGAAACATTTTCAAATGTGGCCTTCCTCAGACTGGTCACTATAGATGTATCCCTTGCAGCCAACATACACTAAGATTAAATACACACCTCTACATGAGGAACGGCAGACTATCAAGAAACTGAGTGATCCATTTTTAGAGGTAAGCATCTGAATGTTGAATGGTTGGCAATTCAAACAATATTGGACGATAGAATAGTAACAACATTGGAGGGCCTGATAGAGTTGAGTTACGGTGACCTAAAGCTTTTTCATTGTGTGACATTTTAGAATCCTTTTTGTGCATCGTTTGCACTGTGGTCCATGAGTTCCACAGCGATCTGGATCAGAAAGGGAACCCTCCACAGCAGAAAGTCACGGCTCAGCGTCTGTGCGGCCTTGGAAAATTACCGGTGGTTCAATGTTCCAAACAGAAAAGCCAAATGTTTTACCATCAATTAGCCATGTGTGTGTGTGTGAGAGGATGACAGAGCTGATGAGGATGATGATGACAAATGCCAAAAGGTTCACTGGGAGTTTAGACAAAGGTTATCATCATACTGAGCTCATGGTTTACAAACGTCATTGTGCCAGTGACATCTTTGGTTCCACTGTGAATCAGTGTAAACACGAGGAGGAAAAGTGACCAATGAAGACGAGAGTAATCAGTCATGAAGGAAAAGATTATTCACTCACTGAGAACACGTTAATAACAACTGATGAAAAACGAGTGCCACATCAATCAGGGCCAATTACTGATTTCAAACTGTGAGTTTCAGTGCAGTTCTCAGAAATTTTTTTGATGTTTTTGATTTTTTTTAGATTTCTTTTTTCAGATACTTTTAAATCGCAAGTGAGTTTAACTCAGAGCTTGTTGTTCTGTAAAGTGAGAAGATAGAAAAGAGGTGCTAAATTTTAGTGCTAAATTTTAGATCCACTTAAATAGACTAATAACAAGAGATGTAGACAGAACTGAATGCATTTGTATTTATTTTAAACAAAAGTTACCTTCCAGTTTTTTTGCATTTTGCGTTGTATGTTTGCTTTAACACTTATTTGATCTATTTTTAGTGATATTTTATTTGTTGAAGCACACACACTTTGAAGCTCAGAGAAGTTCAGTCCATGTATAATTCCTGGACTAATATTACCGTCTCACCACAAAGTGAATGTATTTTGGCTTTAGGCCAGTTAACCTTTCCCCCTAACCTCCTCCACAAGAGTGGTGGTCCCTTACCGTCAAAGATTTCAGTTTTTTTCACTCTTTGACAATTTCTATGCAGCTGGAGCAGGTGAGAACTGATCTCATATCCAAGGAGAGCCTTTATCACAGCACACACTTATCTACTTCTTCAGTGCAGAATGTTGCGTACCACTATAAAATGTAAAAATCATAAACTCACCTCTTTAATGGCGGACATCTTTACTGTCTCATAGTAGTGCAGAGGTGCGTGGGGCATGTTCATGTCGTAGCCAAAACCGGCCACCGCCACCTCGTCACAGTTGTGCAGTGCCATCGTTATGGCAACTGTTCCCAAAGTTGGAATGTTCTGCAGCGAAAAACAGACACAGACTGTCAGAGGAGAATACACGCAGAGTTTATTCAAACTAACACAGAGATAAATAGGAACCGAACATGTGTGGCGTTATCATTTTCAGACAAATCTGAAACTTCTGGTGGTTTCTGACATGGGCTCAGAGACAGATGTCCACTTCCTCTCATGTATCTGCCCCCTCCCCTCTACCGTCCACCTCTGTCTTTGTTCTGCTCCACTGCTGCTAAGTGACTTTGAGCGCTCGATGATTAACTATTACCTCGAAGACACGACCCCTGCAGACCCCTGCTAGGACACATTGATCTACTGGGTTGAACTGTGCTTCCTAACCGCCTAGGGCTGCCACAGATCTGGGGGGTACAGAGTCTGCGTGTTTGTCTGTGTGTGTGAGACTGTGTGCGTGTGGATGCAGGAGAACAAGGGAGAGGAAAAAGTGGGTGCAGAAGAAAGAGTGGAGGGAGGCCCCATTTAAATCATTACCCTGATTTGCAGGCCCTCAGGCTAGGTGGACCTGAACCAGCAGCTGGACAGCCCCCTACTGCGTGTTCTAATACAGATTAATTTACACACACATTCGCGCACACACACGTACTCAACGTAAACATGAGGATAACAAATAGAGCTCTTCATTAATTTCCACATACATAAACATAAACTCCGATGCTCAGAGGAGACAGGAAAGTGTTCGCAGTGAAGAATGTGCCAAATCATACAACTCTGCAGCTTGAATTGTATGAGACAGCGCTGCGCAAATGACCAACACGCAGACACACACACAGGCCAGATGCCCACATGTTGAACACATGTTGCTGAATGGAGTTCATGCAGGGGTGCTCTGGTGGCCCCAGAGGGCAGAGGTACTCTGATACACTCCTCATGTCCTCCAAATCCCTCACAATATTCTGCTCTGCTTAGCAAGAAAACACACACACACACACACACAGCCCAGTGATAAATGAATGGAAACAGTCCTGTTTTATGAGGAACCATTTACACATATGAAAGAAAGTGGGATTTCAACAGCTCTATGATCATTACTTCATATTTTACTGCTCTGGTTGTGGTCACCAACCCAGAATTTCCCCTCTTTTTCCCCCATTTAAGTGTTCTCTGATCAAGACCCAATACCTCGAGCCCAGAAGGACATGATTCATAAGCTAAGTGCAAACACCAGCTTTTTAAATTGGATCAAAACACAGACGACTGTAGGGCAGAACTGAAGCAGCTGGTCAACTTTTTCAGCCTCCTGTCTACTGTCTGAGATACGGATACATGGTGGAGAAAACCTTCAAAATTACAGTCTATTGGAGATTACAGTCCTTTGAGCGGTAAATAGTAATAAGGATCCTTTAACTTTTGATACCAGTACAGAGCAGGGCTGGGCGATAAACCGAAAATTTACCGATACAGAAATTTTTACGGCAATAACCGACGTCATTTTGCCCATGTCAATTTATTTGGTGTCAAATAAATAAATAAATAAATAAATAAAAGTTGTTTTTGGATGTGTGTAGGTAGGCTATGGTCTCATGTCCCTTGAAGACACTGTCCTACGTCAGAGATGTGACTCCACCCCGTTTAGTCCGTAACAAAGATGGAAAGACAGGTGAGGAGATGGAGGACGGTTCAAAAGTTGTAGCGGCTGGAGCGGCGGCTAAAGTAGATGAAGTTTATGTGAGCGGCTTGTGGAGAAGTTATCGTCCATTTATCGTTATTGAGGTGAACTGCTCAATATATCATGATATTGATTTCAGGCCATATCACCCAGCCCTAGTACAGAGTCTCGTTAATGATCTACGTCCAAAAGATCTGACTCTTTTTGATTCATGATCAACAGTTTATAACATCCTCTGTAAAATTCGTGACATATTGTTGAGAAAACTAATGAATTAGTCCTCCAAACAGCCTAGTCTATTTCAAGTTTCATTTACATTTACCTGGTAGTCGTTTACTGGCCCAACCTTAAATTCATCATCATATTTTGTCACCTTGTTAAGATTAATAACTCTGTCGATTTCTGTGATTGATTACCGTTTTTAACAAACCAGCTTTGCTGCAAAGTGTGTGCGCTCTTAACATGCCTGCTGGAAGTACAGTAGGATGAAATGAACCACAGCAGCTGATTTAACCAACTTCTCCCAACCAACTAACCAGGTTCTCAACAAGACCAGGACTCAGTCTCTATCCCTAATGGTGAACAAAGCTCACTGCGACCAGACGAAAAGACGCATCAAGATTTTCCTCTATGCTGAAATATCTGTCAATATCGTGTCCAGTATTCTCACCTCATTTTTTCCAAATCTCATTACTGGATGATTTGATAAGATTGTCATACCTAATTTCCAGTTTTAGTCACCTATCTTTTGTTCGTATTGATCCATATTTGCATTACAATGTGAAAGTTGATGTTCTGATCCATTTTGCTTATTGTTCAAGAGGAAAATGTTGTTGTAGTAAGTGAGCACCTGTGTGTGTGAGTCTTACCCCTTTGCCCATCAGGCCATTATTGAAGGGCAGGCCTATGAACTGGAAGGCGGCCTCTTGGATGAAGTAAGGGTTGAGGATTCGGAAATCTGTTGGCTCCCGAGGCACAGCGTGAGCCACTGACTTCCAGAAACCTTCCTGGCCCCTCTGAGGTAGATTTAGAAAACAAGAAAGGAAGAAGAAGAAGAAGAAGAAGACAGTGCATTAGTGGACTTCAGCACAAACACTGGACTGTTGTTTCTCCACAAGGCAAGACTGCGAGAAACACCAACATGACACATATATTATGACACAAAGGACCTCACATCAAAGTGAGATTATCCTCCTTAACCCTGACATTAAACACAGAAGCCAAACAGGAGCCAGACCCCATACCAGCTCTGATTAGGGGAATGGCTTTGGGCCTTTCATGGATGAAGTCAGGGTTAGGGGCTTGCAGGACATCAGTAATTATGGTCCTGGTAGGAGAGAATCAGACAGAGGGTAAGGGGTGCAGCTACCCTGGAGGGGACTCATTTACTATGTTTGGCCAGGCTAGATGAAGAGGTTTTAGTTGGATTTTGCAAAGAAATTTAATTAAGTTTGATCATGGAAAAAAATGAGTTTACAGTATTGTAACCTCCTTTTGGAAAACCACAAAACTCATAACATAGAAAACATTCTTGTTTATAAAAATATGATATTGAGAGGAAATGGTTTGTAATCACACCCTGTTCTGTGCAACCTCAGGTCTTTTTTACGATACAATTACCATCAGTGCAACCTGTCAGACAGGCCTGAAGAACCACCTGAGTTATATAATGCAACTCTGGTTAACTGCACTTGTACAACCCACTCACACAACATCCACTAAATATTGAGTAAACTAATACACTTATTCACAAAAAATAACCCCGAGAATTGAGCTGATTTTGGCTCTGAACCAAAATCCTATTAACAAGATTAAACCTCGAACAAGTCCATCCTCTCTGAAACATCAGACCAGCCGTGTGTGATTGACTCGCCTGACAGTGTGATTTCCTAAAAGGCATGAAGCCAACAGGGTCAGCAGCAGATGTAAATGAGAATCACCTGTTCAAATACCCGAGCACCCGCCTGGCTGCCTTTGATACCAGAGCGCATGACTGTGTGTGTGTGAGTGTGTTTGTGCGTGTTTGTGTGTGTTGACAGAGGCAGTAGCAACAAGTCTCCTGGCTTTGTGGCTTTAACAGCGGTGGTGCTTTTTGAACACGAGCCCGGCTCTGTGCCTTTCGGCAAGCTGTGACAGGAACAGCAGCTCATCTCTCCTGTCAACACAGCTTGTGTTTGCCAAGAATCTATTTAGCAGCGTTGTTTGGATGTGTGCGCGTCTGTGTGTACGCTGAATAAAGAGAGTGGTGCATTTTTTTCTCTTTTCTAGGAAGGAGAGAGACGCTAATGACAAGGCACACACACCCCTCACTTTTAACTGCAGTGACCTGACATGCAGATAGAGACAAACGTCACATGGGTGGGGATCTCTTTGAAGATATTCAGACTACTGGCAGAGTGCAGGTGGTTTTGAGTAATGAAGGAGCAATTAGTATGCAAGGGTTCAGGTCTGTTAGGAGGGAGGAGGGTTGTGGGCACAGATATGGTACTAGAAATGTTGGGGGTTTCTTTAATTCAAATGTCTTGAACCTTAAGCAGGTAAAAGTACATAAAGTCGCCAAACTACTGAAGAGCTCTGATAGCAATGAAGACACTTTGTATGAAGATCAAACACACAGCTAAGTTTCAAAATGAACCCAGGTTATATAAACAGAGCAATAATTGAGATAAATGTGAAATTTAACTCTTACATTGACAGCCAACAGAAGTGTATCTGTAGTGTTTGGGCTGTCGCTAGGCTGTGGTCATCGGGGGATTGGCTCCCTTCACTTTTGACAGCTTTATGGATTAATCTATCTGGGATATTAGATTTAAGTGTGTACACAAGGCCAAGTACACCAATAAAGCACTTGTTTAACAACCTTGAACTGAGAGAGTTAATTGTTTGAATTGAAGAGATAAGGGGAGATAAGACTGGAGAGGCTGACGTGACTCAGACACATGGAGATTAATAGAGGCTGAACAATTTCACGAGTGTTGATACAAGTCAAAGTTTCCATCCAGATTTGAAAAATAGTGTCTCTGAGGCAACACATCTGATACGGATAACGATCAAAATAAACAAAAAATTATGAGAATTGGTCTCATGGTAGCCAACAAACGTTTTACCAAGCATTGGCACAAGGAGCAAAAACCTACAACAAAGAAGTGGATCAGTATCATGTACACCAAACGAAAAGATAATTTATGTCAGGGGTGAACCTGGAGGGTTTTAAAAGATCTGGGGGATTTTGTGAAGTTTTTGGTAATTTAGTAATGCTTTATTGCTTTCTTTGTAAGTACTGATTTAAAATGTTAATATTGTTGATTGTCTTGGACAGCTCTTACATCTAAATTTGCAAACCTGAATATCTTATTTTTGTCAGTCTAATTTTTACTACTGTTGTTTTTGTGCTAGTACTACACTGTATTTGCTGCATTAAGTGCTGTGAGTATTGTTAACAACAAAGTTTGAATGTAGTCTGCCAAACAATTAACATGATGATGTGATTTCTATATGCAATTTAGTGTTTTCTGCATTTATATTCTGTATATATAAAGATGTGTTTTACCCTAGAGTACTGTATATTGAAAAATAAACCCACAAATGTTCATATCTGCAATCAGAACAAATATGTGGACTAACAGATGTATATCAATACAGTTCTAGACACAAGCTTTTTACCAACACGTGTGAATGTTTTTAAAACTCTTCATTGTTTAAATGTCTGAAAGCGGTGAGGGAAAAGTGACATTTGTGTGTGTTTTTGCATCTTTCATCTCTCTTGATAAGTTACATTTTCTTCATTTCATGTTCTCAACAATGACATGAGCTTTGCAAAAAGAGAAATTCTCCATATCTTTTGCTATTGAATACACTCTAACTTAAGAAAGTTAAAGCGCAGGATAACAGCAAGACAACCAGCAAGAACCAAGTGAGTTCACGCGAAGTGAGGCATCAGAGATGAAAAAAAAATGGTGTGGATGAAGAGAGGTGAGATCAAATAAAAAATGTAGCTTCTTAGAAATGCAACTCTAAGTCTCCTTCAAGGATCTCTACTCAAATTGTTATGTCACCCACAAAACAACTCATAACAACTACGCCTATTTGTAGTAAAGGACTTGAAGTCGACAGAGGGTAACTGTGATGATATGTACCCAGACAAAAAGAGCTGCGTTTTCACTCCACTCACAGCTTATGTAAAAAGCTTAAATAAGAAACAGCTTGGTTTTTAAAGCGAGACCTTGTGCTTAGAGTTTTCAGTGTGGTTTGGTTTCAGTGTGCCCCTGTGGAACTTAACTCACCTTTAAACTCAAATGATTCCCTGTATCGGCTCAGGCAGATAGCTCAGTTTATAGTTCCAGAGGGAGGGCAGAAATGTGGAGCACTGAACCCAGCGGTAACATGAGGGGAAAGGGGAAAGTTTCTTGTCTGCTGGGTTACTATGGCTGGCAAACACAAACAAACCTCAGCTTTCTCTCACCACAAGTCGCGACCACAAACAGCTAATGTTTGGGTTTAGACGTTTTTTGTGCATTCTCCAAATTAATCTCATAATATAGCCGGCCTGGAACAGATGTTCCCCCTTCCTTGATAGGCAGCTTTCATACAGTTTGGCTTTCTCTAGACCCTTGTGTGTTGGAAATGTTTGAGGATGTGGTCGTGTTTAATGTTTATGTAGTAGAGGATGACTCAAACGAGGTGGAGTGGAGTCCGGAAGGTAGACTTAAAGCAATTTAAAAACAAAAACGGCAGCAGCCTCCGAGCCGTTAACGATCACAATTAAGGTTGTCTGGAGGTCATTAGCACTGTGTACATGTTGAACCTTTAAGTTTACAAGTTGCAGTGTCTCACCACATAAGCGCTCCACTGAAGAGGAACCGCTTCAGAAGGAATGTTTGAAGGGACAGAGTTTTATCCAAAATAGGTGGTTGATGCTAGTATTACAGCAGGGCAGGACTTGTTTCTGAAATCCAGTGAGGTAACACTCTGGATAGCTTTGGTTATTATATTTCCTTTATTAGCAAGGAATCTGAAGAATTTACCAATTGGCCCTCTCTTTCCTTGACACACACCGAGACCTCTGCCCTCATTTAGGTCATGGTGGTTTCTTTTTTCCTGGCCTCTTTAAAGGTTATCCGCTGTGTGAAACCTTCGCATTCACACTCCCATGACGGCAAACATGAAAACACTGCCAGCGCTTGACAGAACTGTGACCCTGAAAACTATGTGCGACAAGGTCTCTGTGCAGACACAGGTCGCTGCTTTGGTCCAGTGACAGGTCATGCTGCTATCCCACTACGAAACAAATCAGTCACATGTCTAAGTTCTTCTTAAACTTCCATAAATACTTAATCACACGACAGCCTTTGCATAAACCAAAATACCCCGAGAAGAAGTCGGAGTGTTAATCACTGCAGGCGATGTAGGTGAGTCATATTTGAAACACAACACTCACAGTAATCAGTGACATCCGGAATGTATGTTAGTCACTTGGATCATGCTCAAAATCCATGTTTACAAGTATGTAAATGTTTATGAATGCACGTATGCATGCTACTTTGGGCTTCTGCACACATGTTTGGGCTTAAAAAAGAGCCATGAAGCTGTTATTTCTGCCCCACAACGCATCTTCAGCCAGAGAGTTACTCTAAACTTTTTTAGGCTAGAATGACATGTCCGTAAACTGGAACTCCTGGGTGCTACAGGAGGATAAACAATAAAGGCTCAAAAAAACAATATAGTGAAAGATGGAGCTCATTGGGATATGATCAGCTGCTTGGTTAGTTCTTGCACACTTGATCTCTCTGCGATGGAGAAATGTGCAGTGCCTTCATGATATTATTTTGATCCCTTTTGATTAGAATCCCTGTATGGATTTCTATTAAAGGAGAAGTGCTCTCTTCCTTAAACTGTCTCCATCCATCATTTCTCCCTCTGGCCCGTAGAGAGCACAGATAGCTCCTGTAAACAAACAGAGGAGATAGAACACTGACACTCCACCTTCAGACCCCGTGTTTACCACTGGCTGTATATCCTTCACTGGCTCTGTTTGAAAATATCCCTGCATATACAAACAACTGTGGCTGTGTGTGCATGGGCCGGGCATGCATGTGGTCCGTGCACGAAGGCAAAACTGAGAGCAGATAAATACAAAAAAAAAAGAAGATACTGGTAATTGTGCCAATCATGGTTGAGCACATTTGTAAACAGAAAGTAAGCTGGCAATCAACCAAGAGGCTGCACGTGTGGGGTCAGACTTTGGAGTAGTGACAGAGTGGAAATCATGGAGACCTGCGGTAATGAGGGATTTGGGGAATTGGAAACCTTGTGATGCAGCATTACTGTAATTGTGTGTGTAGTTGGGCGCTTCCCTGATTTAAAATGTAAGATGCGTTGTGGGAGGGAACTCGGTCTGCAATGTCTGACCGTGATCAAGGTCAACTCTGCAAATCTGGCCTTACTTCAATTCCACTCTGAAGTTTATGAGGCTTCATGATTGAGTGAGTGGGAGTGCTTTTTTTCTGCGAGTGTTTGTGTGTTTTATGAGAGTGTACAAAACACTAAATAACAGATTGGGAAATTGCCTTGCTAATTGGTATTCTGTTCAACCATCCAAGACTGCTGTAGGCATCTGAAAAGCCACAATAGCAAAAGGATCGTCGAGCACGCTGACAACTGGCTGGATGAGTCACTTGCGGCTGCATAACAACTGTGCGTGTACCACCCACTAACCTTTCAAAGAAGAAGAGGGAGACATGCACTTGCTTTCATAACCGCAGAAGGAAAGTGAAAAGGCTTTGCCTCCCTTGAAGCCGTGAGCGTGCAGGTCACACAAAGAAATCCCCAATAGATTTTAAAGCTCCCACAGGACAACGATCTAAAGTTACTCTATGTTTCCTCTGGGGAGAATTCAATACATAAAGCGAGCGGTTTTTCATTTCAGAGGATTTCCTACTTCATGTCCGTAAATAAAGCAAAAAAAAAAAAAACTTAAATGTGACATTTGTGAGTCAGTGTTTTTGGAAATGTCCTTGAGTTCACAGAAGACAAATGTACACACTCACAGAAACGCCTCTTTCTGTTTATGTTTCCACTGCATTAGTGTACGCTGGGAGTGAGTCAGATACATTGAAGCTAGGATAACAGTCTTTTAATGGGATTTCAGCACCTTTCATGTTTTTGTTAACACTCAAAATCCACTCTCCACAGAAAACAGATACTATTGCCAGCTTAACATGAACATTCGTCACTGCCTTTGAGCTACCTGTGTGCTTAAATTCCACTGACTAACCACTCTATGAGAAATCAAACCACCTGCTTGTTTCTTTGTGTTCTGACAAAGCGAACAATCAAACTCTCCACCTCACCCGCTCACACTCAAGCTTAAAAATGAATGTGATGGGTAAATCACATAACAGTGGGACCAAAATCAACCAACCAAGCTGATAACCATGACTGCTATTTTTGCCAGGACTCTAAGAGTTTATTTAGGACAGGGCCCTAGTTCGGACCAGTAGTTAATTCAGGTACAACTCTCCTAGACTGCCCTTTGCCACATCCCCTCCCTATTTCTGCCTCTGTCCAAAGTCCTATCTTTACAATAAAGGAAAGAAAAGCCTTGAAAAGTTTTCTCAGAAGTTGATTTGATATCTGTTGAAAATTAATTCCATGAACAGGTGAATAATGCATGATGGATTTAATATGAGAACGTGTGTTAAATTAAGCTCCAAAGGTTAGTTAGCCATGCATTTACAAAAAATATCAAAACCAAGAACTTTGAGTTACTGCGATGAACTTTTCCCTCAATGTTCCAACATTGAACAAATCAAACAACTAATGATACATGTAAGGGATCATGTTGGATCTATAGCTGGTAGAGCTTTAATGGCAACAGGTTCGTATCAGTCTGCATGTAGGAAAAGTTCAAATCAAACATTTAAATTTAGTTAAAAACAAAAAAAAAACCTTCACATTTTTATTTTACTATTCAGGTTTAAGTCGTAATATTAGTGATTTTCTGAGGGCAACTACTGATGCCTTAAAGGCACAATGTGTAGTATTCAGCTGCATTTAGAAGAGAAGACATGGTAGAAACGTAATATAATATTCATCAGTATTTTTTATGTTTGTGAGCAGTCCCTTGAAAATAAAAATGTTTTTGTTTTTTTGGCTCACTGAAATTGAGCCATTTTACATTGACATAAGGAGCAGGTCCACCCATGGGTTAGTATCTTATACCACCATGTTTCCACGGTAACACAAAACAGATAATCTAGAAACTTGTTTTAAGTCCGGGGCTTTTTGAAAAATAGCCACTTGGAAAACATTGGAAGGTATTTGGATGCATCATAGCAGTATCTGGACTTTGGACCATCACTTGCAGAGTTTCACTGACAAAAGGGATGAGCAAGGAAGCATTTCAATCGAGAATCTGACAAAAGAAACCAGAAAATATTTCAGTTTTACACCCTGGAGCTTTTGATGACTGAAGCACCTGATTTAGACCTTCTGCCCTATCACTCCTGACATCATTTTTTTTTTCACTCCATTAGCCCTCAAATGCTGTTTTTGTTTGCTTGATGTCCTTCTGCTTCCACTTGGTATCAGTCTGACTGTTAAGTCTTTTACCTCCTGTCGCTGTTGCTGTTCAAGTTTTTTTTCTTTACTGGTTTCAGGTCATCCATCAAATAAATCTAAAGTTTGGTGCTTTTGTTTTACAAAAAAGTTGTGATGGCAACCTTTGATACACACTTCATGTGGTTTAGCCAGCCAATTCAGAACGATCACAAACATTTCTGCCACAATTCTCACCAATCAGAATCAAGTATTTAGTCCAGCTGGGTAATAACCAGGAAAAAAATAGTGCCAATTCATCAACATAAAACTTGTAAAACAAATGCAGTATTGAGGGGAAAGTTCTCATACCAGTTTAACAGCACTGTACCAAAGAGACTCCATGGCCATGACCTGAACATCTGCCTGTTCTTTTCTTCCATAATTTCATCAAGTCTCCGACAAAAAGACCCCATTTTCTTTTGTTCCCTGTTTCTTAACCAATGAGCAACATTCTTCTTTCTTCAGCAGATCAAAGCCCAGTTGACCGCCAGAGGCCAGATCAATTATCCCAGGCAGCCATTTCCACTGTCCTCTCCCCCTGACACACCAGAAAAATCTGGGCTCTATCAAAGGTTAAAGAGGCCATCAGCCAGCCAAGCAGGCTATTTTCCTCCATTTGACTTTACTGATGCTTCCACTGCTCATTTTCTTTTCCCCAGCTATTATCCCTTTTACCCTTTCCATCTCTTTTCCTCCTCTATTTTTCTCTACCTTTAATCCAAATTCACACCAAGGTTAGTTTCAGCGTGCCAGTGACTGCCCTTTTCATCCTGATATAATGCTATTGTCCTTTCCTCTCTTCCTTCACTCCTGACTGTACAGTTTTGACAAATGTCACCTTGTAAAAATAACAGCTGGCAGTTGCTCCCTCAATGTCACACAGCTGTTCTTAGAAAAAGGTTTCCCTAGTTCTGGGTTTCCTGATCTGACAGAAGTGGTCTTTACACACACACACACACACACATACACATGGTTCAGAGGAACACCAACAAAATGTGTTAAACCAATTCAAGATAAAATATGTCAATGAAGCAATTAAGAAACCTTCACTCTGTAGCTGGAATGGTGGAAAAATAACTGTACTAGGTATTGCTTTTTCTAAACAACCTTTCCTGGCTGAGCATTCAAAGCATCTAAAACATCTCCATTATGAAACAGAGATCCATGCTGCCCTCTTAAACAAAAACAGTTTGCATTTCTTCAGGAAGGAATGTACAGAATGTGATTACTTAAAATAACCACACAACACAGATATCCTGACAAATTTAGAAAGTGACAGGTAGAATTTCTCTGCAACTCGGTGGATGCCGGGAAAGGATCTGAATCCTGATAAAACACAGACTAAACACCCACGATTATTTTATCGATATAATTGTCTGCAGAATGATCATCAGTGAGATGCAGTTAGAGGTTCCTCCAGGTGTGTTTACGATGTTCAAAATCGTTTAAAAATAGACTCACCAGCTTCTCCTTGAAGACCATGTGTTTGAGCCACTTGAAGTCCAGGGGTTTGAAAGCAGAAAAAACAAAAAGGGAGTCTTTTTCGTAGTTCTCGGGCTTCGAGATGGCTCCCTCTGGATATGTAATCCTTAGGGTGGTTTTGGTCCCTACGTCTTTGCTGTAACTGCTCACTGGTGCTTCATTCAATCTGGCAAAACAACAATAAAATAGTGAGTCACTGCATGGAATTTGGTTTTGACTTACATAGTTTATTCTCAAAAGATTACAAGATTTAATTTTTAAGGATTTTTTTATATAGTTAATAAACTAGGCAGTCTCTCAGGAGATCAATTCCTCAAATATTCAAACACAGAATGTAGCATTATCTTTTTTGTGATCAAATGTTTTCTTTTTATTGCAAATTTGGGTCAGAATACAATCAGTTTTAATGCCTTTTTCAACAAAATAAAAAAGAGAAATAAGGAAAATGTGGCATTATCTTACCTTACAACAACATCGTATTCGTCTATCCGGGAGCCCAGGGACTTGTTGAAGAGGATGCCCCCGTTTCCCACAATAATGCATCTTTTACAACTGAGACTGCACAGCCAGAGGGTCAGATGTTAGTACAATTAGCAATTAATAAATACTCAGAACAAGACTTTTGGAAATGTGTGCAAGTTGTAATCATACCTGTCTAGTTCTTCTCCCAATCCGTAATCTTTAGTGGCAGTTAAAATGCTGTCGATGATTCTCTCTGGAGAGGTAAATAAAGAAAGGAAGTAAGGAAGGAGAGGCTGAGAGCACTAAAAAATACTGAGTATGTCTGTATACATCAGTGTATCAACTGTAAATACTTGTGAATAATTTGATTGCCCAGAGCAGGTTTTGTGTAAACTCACTTGTGGATAATTGCTTTTTTGGCCGTAAATGGGAGACAAATAGTACAACTAGTGTCAAATCTGCCCATTAAAGAGGCGTTTATCTTTCTTTTGCCACAACAAAAAAGACTTGGATTTCCCTCTTCATGAAGCAGAACATCAATTCAGAGTACATGATGGCATCAAATAATGAAAGTGAGCCATTTGAAGACACGGAAACCTGAGTATTGCACCTTTCAAAGACTGAAAAACTGCCAGAACCTTCAGCGTGCAGCTTGAGATATCTCGGTCTAGGTGGTCTTGAGACAGTTAGAGGACAAAACACCTCTCTGGGTTTATTCAGCCACAGATAAGGGTTGAACAATCAGCCAGTGGTCATGGGATTATGGAGGGGAAAAAGCTGTTGTGATCCTTGAGGGAGTGGAACTGCTCGAGACAGACCCACAGGTTTGCGGGATGGTATGCGTGTGTATGTAGAAACTCTTCCATAAAAGCACTCAGGGAGGAATGCTGTTTTCAAACAAGCACATTCTCCTAAAGTTAAGTTAAGTGGGTGATGGTGGGCTGGGCTCCCTGCGCGGCTAGCACCCCTGGGATGGCGAGGTGAAAAACGGGGATGTTTAGCCATAGCACACATTCCTGCCATGTTCTACAAGGTATTCTGCTGCAGTCATGCTTCCATCTTCAGATGTGTCGGATATTTCTGTTTGCTCCTGACCTTTTTTAGACCTCTAACAATTGTTACTCAGCGTTTGTAACATCTCAAATGTGCAGGAATGTCTGCCTCTGCTCCATAATACATCATCATCATCTTAATTCATTTGCATCCCACATGGAGAAAAGGAGCCACTGGGTGTTAAGCTGTTAAAAATGAGAGGTCTTTTCACTGCTCTCTCTACCTCACTTAATATTTTTACCATACATTTCGAAGTTGAGCAAAGAGGAGCCAAGAGAAACAGCAAAAGTGAGAGTAAAGAGAGAGTGAGAACAAGAGAGTTTAGAGTGGGGCCTCAGAGAAGACGAATCGCTGCTCCATTCACCCTGGCTAACGATCCTAATGATTAACCTGCTGAGGGGAGGGGAGCAGAGCTGCAGCCCATTGTTTGGATGTGGTGTCGATGTCCGGCATCAAGCATCACCTCGAGCGGCATAAACACAAGGCTGAGGACCACACCTGGATCTAAGCGGGTGCAAAGTGAAAAATCCCAATGGGCATGACTCTTTTCCAGCGAACGACATAGAAGCTAATTGTTATAAGTACCCAGGGTAAACATTTCAGAGAAGTATGTCTGGTGTACGAGCAAAAGACAAATGGCTGTGGGTTCAGACATTAGTCCAACGTGGAACTCAAAAAACGACAAAAATCTTTGCTGGTAACACAGAGGATGCATCACATGACACATAAACACAGACACATTGTTGGGAAGAGTGTAGCCTAAACAATATAAAGAATCAGAGAGAGAAAGGTATTTGTTAGGTTTTCTCCTTGGTAGGCTTTTAATTCAACACAGGAAAAGAAAGCAAATGATAACTTGATGGTTGTGAGGTGACCACTTCAGAGTAACATTTATCCTATTTGTTTACTTATAAAATACAAAAGAAGAACTGCCATCATGGGTAAAACAAAAACTCCGCTACTCATGAGGAAAAACCTTTTTTACATTATTTTATAACATATCAAATGTAGAAGCATGTTGCTTTTTCTTACAGGTTTACTTCCTCCTATTTAAATAGTTTCAGTATAATGTGTTTTAGGGCTGGGCAGTAAACTGAAAATTTACTGATACCGAGATTTACGACAGATGGAGGACGGTTCAAAAGTTGTAGCGGCTGGAGCGGCGGCTTAAGTAGACGAAGTTCATGTGGGAGTGGGTGAGCAGCTTGTGTAGTAGTTATTGTCCATTTATCATTATCGAGGTGAACTGCTCAATATATCATGACATTGATTTGAGGCCATATCGCCCAGCCCTAGTGTGTTTGCTACAGGAAGTCCCTAACTGCTCTTAAATTGACCATCTAAATCAGCTGCTCACATACACCTTCATTCCTTTACAATAAGGAACACTTTATACTACATTTTAGGATATTTAATGCAACATCATCATATCCACTCTTGCACTTCTGCACACCTGCTTTGGTCTCACATTCAAAGAAAAGCAGTGAACAGGCGATCTCATCCAGAGGTTGATCATGTGACTCGGGAAGAGCCAGTGTAAATATCATACTCTGGTTATGCCAATACAGTAAGCTGCATAATCTAAATAAATCAAACATGAATATGAATTGCACTCCACCTAATTAGAAGCCAATTCTCATGTCTGTCTGTCATCAGCTACTGCTGGTGGGAATTACTCCATAAGGCCTCTGTCACTTAGCTAAATCCCTTTAGCTTTACTAAGTCTTTGGACTGCAGAAAGACATCATTTTAAGCAAGCAAGATTTATTTTGACAATGAAATTTAACAATCAGTGGGTAATAAAGCCTATTAGCCAAATGGATTGCTCAGGGCTCACTAGTCTGGTTTCTCTCCGAGAACGGATCAACACAGCTTTACTGTTCTCAGGCCATGACTGATGTGTGCCAAAGATACCTCCTGACAGCAGAGTGAAAAGTAAAAATAAAACTCCCGCCTCCACACATTACCACTTCATGTTCCCAATTTGGAATCCATTGTGGCCTTCTATTCAAGATCCACACGTATCATCTCTCCACATGAGTACCACTAAAAGGGAAACCCCACTGCCATGGCAGTCCGTGGAGAAAACAGAAACCAGGTGTGACACTCACACAAGGAGTGCTCCTTTGATACACACTTATTCACTCTAAGTGTACTTGTGTGTGTGTATGTGTGTTTGTATGACAGTGGAGCACTTTCCAGAGCACAAAGGTAACATTCACCGTGCCCTCTGATCTGAAGTATTGGAAAATATGGGACCGGGCATGTCACCGAGGCTTACGTTATCTCTTCAGTTCCCATGACACCGTGCAGACTCACAGGTAGGATATCTGGAGTGTGTTCAGGTCAGGGAACAAGTGTGTGTGGAGTGTCAGAACTCGTGAGTTCTCTTCCCACTATTTATTTTTGCTATTTATCCTGGAAAAAAAAAAAACTTGATGTATGAATGCTTAGCGAGTGCCTAGTATGAATGTCAGGGCTTAAGAAAGACTAATATTCTGTATACTGACAAAGTATTGTGAGTTTAAAAACATATTCTCTGAGTCAAAAGGTTAGAGTTATAGATATCATGGTTACCATGTGGGCGGTCAACTTTCATTTTAACAGATAACAACAAAGTATTATTTTGATTTAACAAACCTAATCTTTAATACTACTCCATGAAACACTCTAAAGCAGCAAGGACTGCTCTGGAAACCTGTGCTCAAAGACAGCTCATGTCTGATGTGTAAGCATCGTCTGTCGAATATAACGTTAACCAGGGACAAGAAAATTAAATCCATGAGAAGAGAGGATGGGGTTTTGAATGATTTCTTTTTGTTGGAATAACATTTGCTGTGAATTAGTCTTTTATGGATAAAGACTGACTGAATATTTACATAAACTACAGCCTGGTATAATTCTTTATTTGAGCTATTTAGGAGTTAATGCCATGCCAAAGTTGATCTAATCTCTTTTGTCAATTCTGTCTCATAAACGATGAACAGACAATTAAAAAGAGATTTCTGCCACCCCGGTGGTTTCCTTATTTTGTTTTTGATTAAGGGTGAGTGGAGGTGAAAGGTTGATTGGGAGATTTTTTGCATCAAGATTTGCAGATTCAAAATAAGATGTTTTTCAGCCAGCTGAAAAGTGAGACCGGCTATCAGAATGTAAAACTCACAAGAAGTCACACAATATAAAATGCTTGGATCACATAAGATTAAGACAAAGATGAGGTTGTTTCATGCATCAATGTTCAGATATCGCCCTTAAAATGTTCAATTTTAAGAATGTCTATGAGTAAGAGAGCAGGAGGAGTTTTCTTCTAACAGTCCAAAGTTACATTACTAATTGATGACAGTAAAACTTTGCCAGACACTTCTAATGACTGAATGTACACTATGGTGAATTACCTTTCTTTTTTGTCTCAACTCAGGACAAAGCAGAAAAACAGTCCTGAGGCACAGCGTACTCTGCCAAGAACAGCAGCCTTACAAAAATGACAAATGATGAAGAGAGCAACAAGGCAGAACTTTGGCATTCTCCACAGCTGAACCAGAGTGATCCAGACACAGACCTTGATGATGAAGTGAGTTTAAACAAAGCAGGTATCTGGACGTAATTAGCTTCGCCACAGTGATGTTAAAACCACTTAATCAGTCCCGCAAGTAACATGAATGAATAAAGCAGATTAGGTATTGGAAGCAGACTGACACCCGATGAAAGTAAAATGTCAGCAGCACTAACTTCTCTTTAAATCACCACTTTACACTCTAGTTTGATACAGCAATCTCAGATGAAATAACTTAAGTTACAAGTACCACCTCAAGCCTTAAATAGGTACTTCACCAGGGGCACTGGGGTCGAAGAGTCAATATCAGCTTCAACATTAAAACACAAATGTCCCTAATATTTGTGAGTTTCAGGACACTATTATAGACCTATTACACTAGAAACATACAGTAGGAGGTTACTGATGAAATGAACCTGTCTTACCTTGCGTTTTGAATCCAAATGGGGGTAAATAATTGCTGACTTTAGCTAACCGTTTGAAGTTTCGATCAAGAAACAAGGGCGCTGGTTTCATGAACCTGAAATAAGATGCAGAAAAAGAACATGAGGAGGAAGAATCAACAGCAGAAAAAAGAACAAGAAAAACATGCTACATTATATCCTACACAGCCGCTTCTGTAACCATCCTAGAGTGATTAAGAATGATTGATACTGTTGTGCATTCCCCTAACACAGCTCTCGGCTTCCCACGGCTCCCACCTGGGACAGTGGTGTTAATGTCTTGGGCAAAGTTTAAGTCTCAAAGTTGTTGTTCCAATTTCATTAATTTAACAGCATCCCCAAATGTCCTATTCAAGCCCCTCAACACAAGCAGAGTCTGCACACACACACACACATTCGTAAGGTAGCTGGAGACCAAGTGGGTAATAAAAACTGAAAGGCAGAGAGAGAGACACTGCTGGCAGTTACAGTGCATAACCCATCAACATAACCTCTCCACCCAGGACTAAATCACAGCCAACACGCAACGTACTAAATCTGCTCTGACAGCATACTCATGCCAGAGTGCTGTTCTTCAAGGGATATGTGGAAAGACTGTTGCTACAAAGGGAATAAGACTGCAGAAAGTTGTTTTCAATGAAAAACACTTCCACAGGTGTTCAGGCTTTAAATACCAAATAACAGTTTTTATGTGTTGAGTTATACCTCTCAGCAAGAAGGGAAAAGTCCAGCATATAAAGAAGAGTTTGATATTCTAAGATATGTCTGTGACGAACGCCCTGTGATCTGCCGCTATTAGCATCGCCTCTTCCTTATCCTGTATGTCTATATTACAGTGTGAGTGTGATTGTGTGTGTGTGATTAACGGCTGCTCTAAAATCAAAAGAAGCCATTTCCTCTCAGTCACGCCTGTGACCGGAGTGTGGCTTAAAGATGGATGTGTGTTTTTATGACCCGCTGTCAAGCACGGCGGGGAGAGACACAAGAGAGGGAGACGCTTTTCTCACATAAACATGTGAGGAGCTGAGTGCGTGTCCATGTCGGACCTAAATGATCCATCACAACACACAGATGCACACAGACACACAGAAAAAAAGACAATGCTAGGCGCCTCGGGGAGATCTATTAAGCTGTTGTGCATTATTTTGTTTATGACAGAAGACAGCTACAAAAATTGTTGCACAGTCTCATTAGCAGAAAGCAGACCACCAGCGACAGAGCTATTGCATCGAGCTAAAAGGCTGATGGGCCGCTCTCACACACACAATCATACAAACACATATAAATGATTGTTCTTTCTCACTAAACATAAATTATGGCTCCCAGAGCAGACAGACCACACTCACTAGCAAAGGCATTTTAAACTGGAATCAAGAGGACACATGAGAACCATCACACCCCCTTGTTTCAGGAATCTGGGATCACTTGTTACCATAACACAGCCATGAAAAAGAAATATGTAGAGCACTGAGGCACAATGACCAAACATGGCTGACATTATTGGAACGCCATCCGGTTAGCTTAAAGCTTTTCCAGGCACCCTAATCGGTCTCTGATATCCTCATTATCCCCCAGTTTCAACGTATGAGAGCAGAGAGACTCAAGAGGTAAGGCGGTTTCCAGTGACTGTCTCTCCTCTTCACATCACCTGACGGGGGTACACACACTCAGAGACTCCTGTCCTGCCAAAACAAATGGAGATTCATTAAACCTAAAACCTCTGAGGCCAGGAGGGGCTATAAATAACACAGGACCATTGCAAGTCACTGAGCCTTGACCGACAGTCAGTCACTGACATCCTGGCAAAGCACAGAGACAAGGGGCTGCTTGTTGTTAAATAAGAAGTGAGGGCTCCCAAAACAGACAACTAGCAGGGGACGCATTGTACTCATTTCCTTTGCAAGGTAAAGGTCTCACGGGAAATATTTTCATAACCGTGCCGCTTCAAGTTCACAGCCATCACTTGATTTAGGGCTCCAATACAAACATTTTGGGTAAAGCTGAGAGGAGGGGAGGTGTGGAAAATAAATTGAATTCTGCAGGGCAGAGGCTTCAGAGAAGACAAACACGGAGGAAGCAGGAGATGATTAGAGGGACAGCCACACGGCGAGAGGTTAAGTAGGTTTTCTCCGTCTGCTGAACTGCAGGCCACACCTATTTAAACAAAATACTAATAAGGATTCAAATAAACAAGGAGTCGATTAATCTGCTGAGATGTTAAAAAAGTGACCAAAAAACCAAGATGTTAGTTAGTTTACTCCCTTCTACCTGACACAACATATCACATTCAAACTCAGACACTGCGAGACTGTGTAGGTAGCAACACTTACACGAGAGCACACAACGTCAAACAAAGGGCCGCATTAATTGCGCTCATTGACCTGAATGTGAATGGGGTGAGGGTGGTGGTAATCAGTAGACTCCCAGTGGGGGTTTTGTGTTTTACAGAGCTTTGATCCGACACGTGCGGCTGATTAGGGGAAGTCATTATAAGGGCGGGCTTTGTTGACAAGTACCCTCTGAGATAGGTACGAGGCAGTTCCACAAACAGTCCTTCTTTAAGAAGCGCCGCAATTTACAACACATGGTGCTGATGATGCTTCTGTTTTAGGTTGAGTTGTCATCTCCATCAGCCTACAACACAGCCTCAACAAGCAGGAGTGCATCAAGCTCAAAGAGGCTTCTCACCCTGGTTCTGCTTCACCACGTCTTCTTCTCTCTACAGAGTCTTCTCTCTGTTTTCACTCTCTCTTCTCTCCTCTCTTCCCTGATGAAAATTTAGGAGTAGGGGAGAGTTTGGGCGTACAGCCTACAGGCCTCTCACCCTGGGTTTGCCTTCCTTATTCTCTTTCCTGCGGTTTGTCTCTTGTCCCTTTTCTCTCTGCATTCAGGTATAACAGGGGACAGCATTTTTAGGCAGGATGGTGGTAAAATATGTGAATAACTTGTCATTTTGGAATTGGAAGCTTTATACATGCTGCACCTTCAGGGGAAAGATAAATCTGGTTCATAGGTTTGGAAATGGGATGGAGATTTCGTCCTATATCTGGGTCACGCACTGCAATCAAGTGCCTATGGCTATTGTTCAGCAGTGCAGCAAATTACCCCTCTACTAGCTTTGTCCCAAGAATGCTGATGGGACAATGCTCTATAGATGGAGTAGAGATGGGCGGCAAACCAAGGCAAAGAGGAAAATCAAAAGAGCCAATGAGATCAGTATGAGCCATGGAGGAACGTGTGGGCTGGGTAGCAGGAAGCTGGTGTTGAGTCAAGACAGGAAGTTGGCTGGTGTTGTTCATAGAGAAAGCCTCTAAGGCTCTACGATACGGACAGAGGAAAGATGGGAGACCTTATGCACAGGCTACAAGGGTCCTTTTGTGTAACAGGGGGATTACGAGGGCACAGTCCGAGTTTTTGCGGTTGGGAAGGAGCTGATTGAAATGGGGGAACGTTGGGTAGGAATGTGGGGGCTTCTCTGTTCCTGACTCAAAACCCTCAAGGCCAAGCTGGCTTGAGGAGTGACATCATGCATGTTGGTATGCTAGATAACAGTTTCAGCTTTTCTCCTGTTGACATCCAATTTGAAATGATTTGTTTGATAAGCTCTTGATTTGGTGTGGAAGCTCTTGAAGCCTGCATGCATCTCCAAACTCAAACTATTAATCAATCCTTCTCACTTGGGATAGATGGTGGTCATCTTTGCTGCTGCAAATCCTGGCTTGCACACTCCTTCGCTGAGGTTGCCATACTTGTATGCCAGCTCCGGTGGCCTGCACATGAAAAGAAAAGAGGGAGTCATTTATCTGACACTTCATGACAGCTGGTTATCAATTATATTGACACAGTTTCAAGCCTCAAACGCTGAGCTTGTCAAACAATCTGCCTGGGAGATAAGAGAGGACGGGTTGCCTAGGAAGTTGGAGAGCTTCGTGTATCATCTGTGTGTGGCATGACAAAGCAAAGGGGCCTTGTTCAAATAATCACCAAGTAGGGCTCAAACTTGAACCTCCCAATTACTAGCGTGATCATTAATAACCTGATGAATGCCATGAAGTTCAAATAAACAGAGACGGGGGGGAAAGAAGCTGAAGTCCCTGCTCTATGTAAAACCTGAAATCAAAGTTTAGAGAGTGATTTCAAAATTTTTGATACTCTTCTGGTATACTCTTCAAGTACACACTTGAAGTCTGTTCAATTGCAGCTTAACCTGAATAGTCCTTTGGATGATGAGTCGTCTGGTTGAAATAAAGCGTCGAGGCACTTATCCATCATTTAGACCACCTGCTGAGACTAAATTACCCTACTTACAAAAGTAATTGCTCCTTTGAAGATAAATTGCACTACTGTATGCATGTGCTGTAAAAGAATAAATAATGACACAGCAGATATAATGTAGGGAGCTGTGTTACGTAAACTGAAACCACCTTAAAGTGCATGCTGACATGGGGCATACAGGGTGCGTGTAGAGTGTGGACAGACATGCCCTGCAAGCTGGGTGGGAGGGTGGTGATGGCAGCAGCTTATGATTATTTCCCACTGTACAGGGTGAGCCAGAGAGGGGGGCCCATGGCAGAGAAGAGCAAGAGTGTCAAACCAATTCACGGGATTGTGTACAGATCAACAGACACACTGACACAATGACAGCTATGTAATGAGCCCGTGTAGCGTGCTCTCTGTGCCCTGAAAACCCTCAGCCGCTCTGAGACAAATGGGAAATCACCAACCACATAACAATTCACACAAATCTCCTCAGATATTACTCAGACCACCTATTAAACCTGAGCGTTTGTCAGAGGGTTTGTTTAAAATAATCAACTCAGATTAATTAGGCAAAGGTCAAGACTTCCACGTTACATGATTACATTTACATTGATCAACTAGATTCAGTGAGAAAAGTATTCAGGAGAACAAGCTGTAAAACATTTCTAACTAATGGAGACACAGTTTGACTGGCTCTTCAGCTGCTCTAAATATAACAAGTTAGAAGTATCCCCAGGGTGCATGATGGAGACTTGATTTACATTAGGGGTGAGAATCACAAGTGGTCCCACAATACCATATCATCGCGATACTTGGGCCACGATACGATATTATTGCGACATTTTTAACATTTTGCAATACTTTTGTTTGTCTTATTTACACAGTATTTTATTATCATGTAGCACATCTTCCAAACTTGACATATATTTGTTGTACTAACTTTCTCCTGCTCTATGATGTCACCTCTGCCAACCTCACTGGACAAACAGTTGATTTTATTTTCCATTATCATAGATTTGACTTCATATTAGCAATTAGTTTGAAAAATAAAATATTGTGACACTATGCTGTATCGATTTTTTCTCCCACCCCTACTTTACATGTCACATTGTTTAGAAGGGGATGTACTCACAGTTTTGTGTCCAGCTGCAGCAGAAAGCCCTGCTTATCATACACTGGAAAAGAAAGAATAAAGAGGAGACAGCCATCACTGCACAAGCCTATACATACGCAAACAGCATGGCAGCTCTCAGGTTAAAATGTTTTATAGTTGGAACGTATACTCTGATCAGTCAGTCTATTTCATTTCAGCGTATTAGTTGCAGTTGTGAACAACCTGTGCATCATTGACGGGGGGTAAACAGTGCAGCCAATGTAAAAGATAAGTAAGCATTATAATCAAGATTTGTGATAAAACAAGCGAGGTTAGGGGAAAAGCGAGCCAAAACAATCTGTTGAGTGTAAAATAAAGTTAGAGAAGACATTAGAGATCACCTATGGAGGACCAATAGGTGCCTGGTGAAGCATCGAGGCAAAAGACAGAAAAAGCACAGAAAACTACAATATGGAGAGATGAGAATTTGTTCAGGAAGGTGTAATATGAGGATCCTATGCTGCAGTCTTATGTGTCATACCAACACTCACACAGACTATGGAACATTTAAAATATAAAGATCTATCTCTGAAATGTGGTTATATCTTGCATTGGTTAAAGTAGGAGGTGTGCATAATCACTCCTGTTGTAGCGGATCTCGTCTTCACAGAGCAGCTGGAGGAGAAAGATAAAGACAAAAGACAATGGAAATGCATGATGGCTGGTTAGGGAAGGATCCAAGCACTGCCCTGGAGGATGGAGGACTTTTGCCAAAGCAGCCAAGATGGGTGAGTGTGTGTTTGTGCTTATTATGTTTCTGTAGAGAAGCATAAAGCAGCCAGAGGGCCAAGTGGAGCCAGCAGCTTGGGAGAAAATAAAGAGGCAGGGTTGCCACAAAAAAATGCAAATGTTTGTCTGTGGAAAGTTTGTCCTTCGAGAATCGTGCACCAAAGCTCCTGCAGACTGCTTCACAGGCTGATTGTTTCTTACAGAGCAAAGACAACAGGGGGCAGCGTTGTATCACACTGCCATGTCATGTACAGACTGTACAGTCCTCACTTGTTGTCGTGGGTGCAAAGTTCAGTATGGTACAATTTACAAAAACTTTTATGTTTCTGAGCAACCCATATATTAGTAACAGATTTGATTAGGAAGTTAGTTGAGCCCCAAATCGAAAACATTGCCAGCTTCCTAACCCAAGTGTAGTGGCTGAAGCGTTGCAGGACTTTTTCAAAAAGATGCTGCTTTCAGAGTTTCTCAGAGTGAAGGAACAACAAGGATGGGTAAGAGAACAGCAGGTGGGGCTGCAGATGTACCTGAGCCTACTATTCGTCCCGCGGGGATGTCTGTTTCCAACTCTGCAACACAAAGTGGTCAGTTAGCACAGATTCATGTCACCCTATTTTGGCATTAGCACAATTGCAAACGTGAAACATTAAAGAGCAAAAGAAAGGAGCAGGAGGAGGAGGAGGAGGGGAAGGAAAGGTTAATAGCTTTAATCCCAGAAGGTTGAATTATAATTCAGAGTCCCCATCTTTATTCAAAGTCAAAAAGTCCAATGAAGTGGAAAATTAGGTGCAGAAAGCCCCCATTGTGTGGTTATAACGGCTGTGGAAGATCCAAAGTTACCCATGAAAACTGAATGAGTGAAGTACACACTGGTAAAAAAGAAAAAAAAAAAAGATGACAGGTAAATAAAAGCGGTAAAAAAAATGTGAGGTGAAGCTTATATTACTGCATTAGCAGAGATTTATATTGCAGGGGAAAAAAACTCAGCTTGAAAAATCCGCGGCACAACAATTTGACAGACACCCAGCACAAAGGGGCAGAGTCTCAAAGCCTCTACCTGGAATTCTTTTCACTTCAGCCCCTTTCGGCTCGGCTGTAGTGACTACAGCTGTCACTTCTGCAACATTTTCTGAAAACAAAAGGGGGTTAAGACACTCATCAACTGTGGAGCTGAGGAAGTCACTAGAAACCACTCAACTAAAGACCAACGTTCTCAGAAAATAAAAAAAGAAGGAATAGTTTCAGAATCAACAAAACACAGACCGTGGTATACGCACAAAAATAGACGCACACAAAAGGCAGACACAGAGACAGAGAAAAACCAAACATCAAAGATCTAATGCTGATCCTGAAGAGTGAATTTAGTACCAAAGTAGTGCCACACACAGACCTTAGTTACTAGAAGAATGACTCACCCTGTTGTGAATAAAAGGTATGTTGACACCTGTGACACTCACAGTAATTAACTTCCTCTGGATAAGTTTGTTAGGATAAGTTTTTAGTAAGATTTTAAAAATCTACTGATGTAAAAAATCACAAAAATCTTGATTCATGAGAGGGAATTGCTCAATGTATAAAATCAATGTGTTCTCACTCAGCGTGTTCATCGTCCTGTACATTTAGATGTGGTCAAATGAGGCTTTAGACAGCTGTCTGCTAACTTCAGATGAAATACTGATAGTTTAGTCATGTAAAAAATGAGTTCTTGAATTCTGGAGAAACACGCTGCCTGCACAGGTAATGTTTAAAATACGAAGATCAGAGCTAGAGTTCCACGCAGTTATTGAAGCTTCTCAATGCTCCTTAATGTTTGTTTACCACGCTTCTTTCTGATATCACAACATCGAACCAGATCATCACTTCCATATTTCCATATTGTACAAGCACAGTGTCAAATTTACTCTTAAAGGGCAGAGTCAAGTGATATAAAATAACATTAGCTTTGCTTTGCTAAAGAGAAAATATACAAGACTTTGATACTGCTGTAAATAAAACATGTATATAATATAACACGTCAGTTTCTTTTTCAATATCCTGTTGACCTAAAACAAGTAGATGAAAACCTGGCACCCTCAGTAAAGTGGTTTTGTTAGCTTAAAACTAAAACCCACACAGGTTTTATGAGAAGAGAGGGAAATTTTTTCTGTAAACAAAACGATCCGACAGCTGCCATTTCCTTTCAACCAAGTGATGATGATAAAGCACAAACTTAACGACAAAGCCCTCTTCAAAACACAACAACAACAACAACAACTACAACTAAAAGTGCTCTTGTGAAAAGAGCACAGCATAAATTTGTGATAATGTCAAATCATTGCACAAAAATTGGTTCTCTTATAACGGGAAGGTAGCGCAGATCAGCTTCTCCATGAGAAGGCTGCAGCGAGATCAAATTCCCCAATAAGCTAACCTAAGTCTCTGCTGCAACTGAAATTCTATAGGTGTATCAGGGATAACTTCTCAGCTCTGAGACCAGAGAATGTAATCCCTGATGCTGAAACCAAGCCTGGGTGAGGAATACTGAGAGCACTCTTCTTCAACAACTGCTGACCTTACTGACAACAAAACAATCAAATTTACACGAGCAGAGACCGCACCGCTTTAAAGATTTAACACCAACAAAAGAGAACCTTCTGGTAACATCTCAATTACCTCATATCAACAGCAATTTCCTGTTATATTTATAGAAAACGGTTCAGGGCTGAAATCCACTGGGTTGAAAACTGTGGCTTATTTCCTGTGCCTGTTAGCAGCTCGGCTTGTGGAACAAATTCATTTCTCACCCTGCAGGTGTTAATTTCGAGTGTGATCTGACACCCTGAGGTGATGTTCCTGTTACTAGCAAGACTGCAGACCCTCAAAAGTGATTATGCTGCTGGGGAGTTCAAAAGACAGTTAGCTGCATCTGCAAAATACACTAAGACTTGTAACACAATGTGAAGCTGGTGAGGCTGCACAAGAGTTAGCCAATTTCAAAGTGCTATTTTAACGTTGGTAAAAGAGTGAATTTAAGGGTTGTAGGTCTATGTGAGTTGCACAGTGAATGTTAGGCCATATCCTATTGCAGGGGCACAATGGAAAACAAACAAACAAACAAAAAAAAAAACGTGCATGTGAAAACACTCTCTACCTAATAACCAACATCAGAACTACACCATCATGAACGAAAGAAAACAGCCAAAACCTTTTTCCTCAACCTGTCAAAGTTGTTCAAGTATTTTAGCAACAATTTGGTACAAGTGGAGGGATGTGTCTACATTGGGGATGGGCGATAAATTATCCTTTACGATATATCGTCAGAAAAATCCTCCATGATAAATATTTGCCATCTCACAGTAAATGCAAGTTGTTGACGGAGGCGTGAGTGACGGACTCCAAGCCATAGCCCACACAGAGCAGAATAACAAACAAACATGGCCGCAGATGGTGAAGAAGACATTTCTGAGCAGCTCGTTACTGAACGAGGCTCCACATGAGGGATTTCCTTCAGGATTGGGGCTTGGATGAGTGCAATCAGGTATGCCTGACATTGGACAGTGGATTTGCTGCTGTTAACTCTGTGCAATAAGAGTTTTCAACAGATGTTGAAAGTGTTTTCACATTTGAGACTTGTTTGGTGTCATTAGTTTTCTCCATAACCTACCACTTAAACTTGTGGTTAAGTATCTTATTTGACTACTCCAACTGGGGTTCTCAGACAAAATGAGTCAAAAATATAGATTGGAATTATAATATTTTTTATCTGGACTTTTATCGTTATCAGCAGAATGGCAAATCTTATCGTGATAAATTTTTTAGCCCATATCGCCCATCCCCAATCTACATATTAATATACAATAAATCAAAGGGCTCTATCTAACAGTCGCAAACTGTTACCGTAACATTCTACTGATCTAATTCATTTGAACCCTTGAAACAAGGATGACAGTTTCAGAAAATGTCTGGTCCATCCCAAACTGTAGTTTTTGTCACTCTTTGCGATCTCTGTTTGATATCATGATTGTACTGAGCACAGCAGTTTTAAACCTTCATACTTTCACAGCCTCTTCTTTATACTGTGTATTAACAATGGCAAACACCAAGTTTGGTGCTCTTTGTCACTCATCTAACAGTATACATAAACCTAACCATTTCCATTCACTTCTGTTACATCAGTCCAGCTCAGAGGCAGCCGGTTCGATGGCTGTTTTATTCTCTCAAAGTTGGCTCTCAGCATGAACACAAGTCAATGACAATGGTTGTAATGTAACCGGCTTTATTGATAGACATAATACGCTTCGTGCGATAGATAGCTGGCCTCCATTTCACTATGTCAATGCAGGGAAATAAACTATTGACAAATGTTTAGTTCTTTTTGTTTCAAACACAGCTTTTTAACAGGCTGTATAAGATTTGAAAAGGGGATTTTAGAGTTCAATGGAACACAGTGGGTGGGTCAGTCTATTTAACACCTTCTCCTTGGGTCAGTGGCAGCAAGTCCTGGCCATGTAAACTGATGCCAACAGTCTATTGTTAAACAGCACAGGCAAGCTGATCAGGTTTTCTCATTAATTCAACCCCACAAGAATCACACATCATCTCCGGCACAAAGAGGACTCACAACAGGTCATTCAAGGACTAAACTCAAATGTCACAGTCATGGCTGCTTCAAGCCATCAGTAGAAAACATATAAGAATCAAATAAATAGGATAGATAAAAACAGAAAAAGGACTGGACCTTTAATTCATCAAAGATCACAAGCATAACTACATGACTAATTCTGCATATATCAGAAAACAATGGCTCAAGAAGAAAACCTGGATGGGTCAGAAAAGTTCTGAATGTGGTGACAATCTGCTTCATCTTCATACAGTAGCTCCGGTCACACAAAGTCACTCTTTTTTTTAACAGAAGACTCTGACTACAACAGGATCAGAGGCCCCAGTTATGTGTTTAAGAGGATCATTGTTTTCATTTTTTCCACACTAAATTTCAAAGCCAGGTGCCCGGGTAATTTCGGACAGGTTTCAAAAGTTAGCATAACTAATCCTGGGATTTCTGCTCGAAAGAGGACAAAAATCCCTTGAATTGGCATATTCCCAAGACATCAAACTATGAATAATTTGTAGAACAGAAGGAGAAATTAATTACCAAGATGCTTTTGATGTTACATGTGATGAGCAGGGTATAAGCCTCTGTATGCTCCATTTTTTCCCCTGGAGCAGTGAGCATTTCTAGCACTATAAATCGAGAATTGGGAGGAGGGATTACACAGATTTGATCCTCTCAGTGAGACAGCATAGCTTAGCTGACCAGGACAGAGGGCTAGAGGGACCATCCACATGCTCATCTTTGCCCCCCTGACCTCAGTTAAGCCAAACATCTGGCACAGCAGTGATGTAAAATACCGGTATTTCTTACTGCAGTTAAAGCTCCCCTCCACTGGACCTGCTCCAGTAAAATGAGCCATCAATGAGGAAAAAGCATAAAAGATATCACATCTACTGTGCTGCTAAAAAGCTTTTTTACCTATGGTAAGTTGTAAGCTGAGTTGAACAAACTATGAGTCTACCGATGCCACTCTACTAAGAATATCACACAGCACTTGCTGTGGGGTAGAGATGAGAGCAAAGAACGTAAAGACATGGATGACGAGGAGGAGCACTTTCAATGCACTAACCAGCTTTCAAGAGATGAAAGTTGTTTTGCATGATAGGTTTCACCCCACAGGCTCCCTTCATAGAGAACCATTTCAGCTTTTCAAGAAGCAGTGGTGGAAGGTTTTTTATTTGAAATGTGTATTTCAATACTTATGGATTGCTTTACCTCATTTGTAAGAAGGTTGAATTTAAAGACCAGCTACAAATCCTCTTGATCTGATAATTTCCCAAGGACTAACTCTCGATAGAAAATTTTCAATCATGTCTGCTGCTGCTAATTGGACGGACAGAGGACAGTCTTGTGAATTGATCAACCAACATATCGGAAATAACACCAGCTTTAACATGCCAACCTGAATGATCATACAGCAGACTAAAACCCCTTAAACTCTGGACCTAAAATCAATCGTACACATTGTTGATTTGTATTACACAGGCAGAGTTGTGGACCTCCCCTCCAAACTTTTTGGTCCAAATACAAAAACATTAGTTACGTTGTCAGACTGTACACTAAAGGTGGTGCAAAGATATCAACGACACATGTGAGAGTCTCTCTGAGCTGTTCACTTTAGAAGGCATGATGTTTTCATTCCTGCTCAGTTCTTGGTGTGGTTCAAAGCACCGTTATTGTGTTTTCTCAGCCCAAAGTTGTTCCATGAGAATGTTTCCCTTCTCTGTGGGGGACATGGGCAACAAAGTTACAAAAACGGTTAAAGGGAAATCTTCTAGCCCCCTCTGCTGGATTTTGCCAGCTGTTTCAGGGCGCCCACACAGAGTGACACAACTTCCTGCCCTCCTTCATCACCAGTTTGATCTTATAATTTGGCTAAAGACGTGTTTCTCCTTGAGCTGAAAAGTAACAGAGATGAGCGTTTGCCTACTGTCGTCATTACTGTATAATCATAGACACAAATCGACTTTTTAAGGAAGTCCCACTGTGTGAAGACCAACACCCAGGCAACCCAAGGGTGTTTTGAAAAATGACAGATGAAGAAGAGCCCTCTGTGTGTGCGTTATAAAAGGGCATTGCAAAACTGCAGTTACAGTTTTGCGACAAACGGTTTCATCATCAAAGTGTGGAAATCTAAAAATGGCAATTCCTCCTAATCCAACGTTGAGTTGAGAAAAGGAGTACACTGAGGGGGACTTAAGTTAAATTGCTGTCAATATATTGTCAACTGTGGCACAACAGCTCGCATCAGTTTTCGCATGTTGCACCACGTGTAAAATACAATCTAGCTAAACGCGTCCCTCAACATCCTGTGCTCCAATCCACTCACTCGAGATTAAAGTGGGGCATTTTATTACACACCATCACACAGCTTGACATATGTACAGTAGAATAACTACTTCAAAAATGACAAACACAGATTGAAAGAAACAAACAGTTAACTGGCAGTGAGCACAGAGAGGCAAACAGCAAAACAGAGACAGGTGTCAAACAGATTTTCTCAATGACACAAATACAAATACACAAAGATTTCATCAGGAATGACAGATGGATGATGGGGTGACGAAGAAGTGTTAAAAGACAGACTGTTAAAGCCACTTACGAGACTTCTGGCCCCACACGGGAAGATGGAGCTTCCCGGACGAGTAGTAAATAAAGCCCAGGACCAGCATGGGGCACAGGACGAACAGCAGCTTGTGTGTGGGTTTCATGGTCTTCAGTCATTCACATGGCACCATCCACGTCATCACCTGATGGAGCAACAGGGCACAAGGGTATGGAGTTTACTCACCCAACAAACAGAATCCATCTGTCAGCAGCAGCAGCAAGGAACGTGAAGTGACAACACCAACGAAGTTAAACTTACAGCGAGAGCACACAGATAGGGAGGAGGGGAGGAGGAAGAAAGGTGGAGTTATAACGTGAAGACAGGTTTAAGGGTAGGAACAATGGAACAATACACAACAACACCTATCATAGAAAGAAGTTCTATGTGATGACAGAATTTGCTTAATCACATGCTTCTTATCATTAATTTGGCCACAAAGTTGTGTTTTTGTTTTTTTGTATTTCTGTGAACCTCATTAGATTAGAAAAGGCACAAAGCAGAAGCACAAAGCAGAAGCTGAGAGCCATTTCATGCACTCTTCGTATTTTGGAAAAACAGCCAATATGACGGTGTGTGTTTATGACTGCTACACTTGGCTGCTTATCACTGGTCGTTCAAGCATCCGTTAAACAACCTCCTCCACTACAGTTACTTATAAACTTGCAGGAAACCACACCCATGCCGCCACAGAGATAAAATGACAGCTAAATGACACAATGACAGTTTCATACTCCTTCAATCAACAGTGAGCAAAATATGCAGTTCCATTTGGCTAACTTGTCCTTCAAGTTGACTTAGTCCACCTGCCTTAGACACTCAAGATCTAGAAATGGACTGCTCCCAGTGCACACATATTAACAAGCAAAACATGCCGCAGCAGTAAAAGCTGTCAAGTAAACATGATGCCTGACAGCAGATAAGAGACAACCCATTAGCCATTTCTATGTCTGTGTGTGCCTGGTCAAACCCTTGAACCCACTTATGCATTAATGCAACCCACAAGCATAACTACTTTTTTTTAGCCCCTCACACATTTGTTTCAGCAGCTTTCATTACAAAGGGATCTGCTTTCAAAGACACACTGATTATACTAATTTCTAAAGGTAAAACTAAAAGAAAAATTATATTCAAGAGACAGATATTTCATTTTGAGAGCTTTTAGAGCCAAGTGCAAACTAGGGAGTGGAAAGCTTTGGAGCAGGGAGGTGTCTGAGTGGAGCTGAGCTCAGATAAGACTCTAATACCTTTGCAAACCCATGCATTTCAAGAAAGAAGGTCTTAACCCATGCGAGGCAACAGATGTTATCCACAGGATGATATGCAAATTTTTAATACCCTATATTCCCCTGGTATACAGTCTAATTCAACTGTAGGATAATATGCACTACACACAGTTACAACAACTTGTAAACCCTAAGAGCCAAGTCAAGCCAAGTGATGCCTGACATACAGAGAAGAGTTTAAATGGACCACTCTGGGAGGCTTGTCAGTTTCTGTAACAGAGAGGAGTCACCTGCTGAAACTATTCAGAAGTCTTTAATGTGACAAGTAATTGAATGGAAGGAACCAGATACGCTTTGACAGATTTAGCCAACAAAACAGGTTAATTCCCCATCATCCAACCAGGTTGTAACAGTTAGGAGAAGACAGGTTAAAAGACCTCTTACTACAAACGGTCGAACTAGCCCAACAAACGTGTTTCAACTCACCACATCATTGTGTAACAGGTTCCAGTAGCACCAGCAGAGGCTTTCTCATCAAAGCACTCATTCCTTTCAGTATATTTTTAAGCTTTTTCGGACGGCTGTGTTTCTTGTTTTACTTTTCGGTCTTGTGTATTTCATTTAGCTGTCACGTGACCACTTACTGCTAACTTGGTTCAACAGCTAGCAACGTCAAATAACGTTAGCGGAACTTCTCGGTCACGTATTTCACGCGTTCACCGAACTGCCACAATCTGTGCATATACTGTGGAGTGTGCCAAAATGTAAACTAAGGTTTATCACACATTAAATGTTCCTTCCGCGTACACGTATTGCAGACAAATGAACATGGTTAATAGCTGACGGTCGTTCATAAGCGGATTTTTCAGTGGTGAGCAGGAGACTTGGGGATATACGGCAGCTAACCGTACCGTTAGCTCAGGCTAGCCCACCGCTATGCTAACAACGCTACGTTGGCATAGTAGGAAATTTGCCTTTATCCCGTCGGCAGGCCTGCAGCGTAACAACACAGCAGCACTGGTTGGGAAATTTTGTGGTCAGACACGGGGCTCAAATATTGCAGCAGTAGGCACAGTGAGCGGCCGAAAAAGCCCACACATGACGGATAAATAATACAACTGAAGAACAACGAGGTACCAGATACACAACAGTAGGGTTAGGAAAACACTGGACCAACGTTTTGACAAAATGTATCACACCATAATTGTGGCGGAAAACACGACGTATCAACGCTTCATTTCCATGCCCAGTTAATTACAAATAATTATATACATTACCTTTTCCTTTCATCCAAATCCACAGGGTAGAATCAACACCAGTTTCAGTTTAAATAACAGATAGGTCGATAAAACGACCGTGTTCCCCCTCCTCTCCAAGCCATCTTGATAAATCCGTGAAAGTACCCCGCGGCCACTATGACTGCCTGTTTCCCTTTACTGTCTCAGCAGCTCGACTTCTCGTCCAGACTGGTACAATGAGAAAGAGAGAAGCACCCCCTCTATTAACATCAACATCAGCAGCTCAGGCAGCGGCAGCTTTTCTTTCCAGTCTACAGACACAGTTTATCAGCGACAGTCAGTCACATGAGGTATCCCTGAATTATGATGCCCCCTCCTGTTTTAAGAGAACTAAAATGAGAGCACCTTTCTCATCTCCGTCTTCACGCGGTGTTCCTCTCAGCACGTCAATTATTAACATGACATTCTTACTTTGCTGTTGCACTTAAAGCATATTCAACAACCTTCAGACTATATAGGCTGGTAACAGTCAGTCATCAGCAGCAATGTTGTAATGTACAGCCTGGAGCTGTGAGCTGCCTGCCCCACACTGTAACGCTTATATGCTTGTTCAGCAATATTTTTTCACTGGCTGCACAGGTTGAGAGACCTGTTTTTCTCCCACTGTTTTGGATGAAATTGCAAAGCTCTACAATGATTCTACACAGAAGTGCATGTCAAAACCATAGGGCGACATTATGGTCAAACAAATGATTAATCTGATCAATACTGAAATCACAATTTTTAATCATGAATTGTTAATTTTGAGGACATATTTCTAACTGTGCATAAAATTCATATTCTGAAAGATATACTTCCTGCATCTTACTCAGCAAGCAATTGTAAGCCAGTTAACTTTGTTTACGTTGCACCTTTACAACCCCACTCTGCCCCTCTGCTTTACTAGCAAACACACTTGATCCTCCCATTGTGTCTCTTACTTTCTGCACTCTTAGTTTTGGATGTTACAATGTGCTGTGTCATAAACAAGTTTTATCAATCTGCAGATCACCTGGAATTAGGAAAGACAACCTGAGTTGTGCTGTTTAGGGGAGTTTATGAAATGAACAGGCAGTCAATATTGTTAGAACACGCGCATACAAGTGAAGAGAAGGGGCAAGCAATCCCAATACATATCTATAATCATGACATAATGGTATAATATGATATGGTATAATAATCGTGGCTTTTTGATTGTGGGGAGGCCACAATCGTGACCCTGATTAAAATTTGGTTAATTGCTGCATGGATTGAGAAAATGACAAAGAGTGAGACTGATAAACACTAACAGACACAGATAAAGAGAACACACTGCAGCATTAAAAAAAAAACAGCAAACCATACCAGGTAGTCTAAGTGAAACAAGCCAATACAAACAGTAGAACCATCCCAGATAATAATAGGAGCAGCACAGTTCCAGGACATGGCTTGGCAACTGTCCTGTTTCAAGTATTGTTATTGACTGAAAATTGGGCTGGTAGGTGGACAGGTTCCAGGCCTGTTTTCCTCACAATCCTCCCTGAAGTTATTTTTCTTTTCAAGTGTGTTTTCAACATTATATAATCCTACCTTTAATCTGCATTGCTGTGGAGTAATTACCCTCAAATGTCCAAAAGCTCAGTCCTAAGGACAATTTGATCCCAGGCTCCATGATTCTTTATTTGACTTCTAGGAAGACATGTCTCCATCAACAAGACACGTTCTCACTACGCAGTCTACCACAAGTTGTTTTAGAATGATATTCATGTTTATCCAAGGAAGTATTTTGTGTCATCACAAAGTCCTACAGTCAAATGACTTTCTATTTTCATTGTTTACAAAGTTGAAGAGGATACTAAAAATCATCCATATGATATGATAACCTCCAATGACCACAGTCAATAAAGGGTGACAGAGAAAAAAATAGCAACACTTTTAGATTCAAGACAGAACCACACCAGTATTTGCACAAACCATCAGTTGAGGGTTAAGTAGTACCTGTCTCTATGCCACACCAAGTCAAACAACCATCTGCTACAGCAAATATTGCCTTAAGAAGAATAATAATGGAGTAACAATTGTGAATTGTGAAAACCAATAAATTAAGTGTAAAAAAAAGAGAATAATAATGAAGCAATCTATATGATCTATGTCTCTGACTATTGCTCATAAACCTCAATGAATAGATTCAGATGTTTACAGTAAATCAACACACCACTACTGGCTGTCAATCTGACTGTAAACAGAGGAGTGAGAACAAGAAGCAGTGTAAAGACACGGTGTGAGAATCACTCATGGAAATTCGCTGAATGTGAGCTGACTCTGTTTATTAATCCTCTAAGAATAGGAGATCTGATATAAATAATTGAACACAAAGCTAAGATACCTGATAAATATCTGCTCTGCAGACCTGTGAGTCATCCTCAGTGCTGTATCATGTGTCTACAGATTGTTGTACAGCAGCAGATCCATTGTCCTGGCCTTCACACCTGCTCAGGTTACAGTCTTGATTAAGTTTCCCTTCTTGATATCTTGTTTTATTTGTGCCCTGACATTAGCAGAGCCTTGCAATCCTAGATAAGCAGAGAGGCTGGGATAAGACTGAGTGCGGTTGAGGGAAGGCACAGTCTTCTCTGTTTTGAGAATGTGGCAGTGTAGCATACCGATCTATTAATATTAAATCAAGCAGGAAATACAATCTGCTCACCCACTGTTCTCCATCTGGGGTCAGGAGATTAGCAGGAGCCAGGAGAATGAAATACATACACAAGCAAACACACACACGCACGCACAGACACACGCACACAAAAACATACAAATATACACACGCCTATTAAAGTGTCTTAGGATCAGAGGACCTCTTTTTGAAAGCTGTCTGGGACTCCAGGAGAGTTGGCAGTACTTCATGGCCTTTGGCACATAGGAAGTTTGTTTACATCACACTTACAAGAGGGAATGATCAATGATTGCAGAAAACAATGCAAAGAGCTGAATTTTCCATTCCCTAACCATGTTTGGGAAGCAGAACTGTTTTTGATTTCCTTCCAGTGAGAAGCTGTGTTCCTGAACGTGGACAGCACTGTTTATTTTACAGAGATTGTGATGCATTCACTTCACTGTAATGAAGTGAAGTTGCCAAAATGATGCCTCATGCAAACTAATTTGATCCTTAGGGGCTGGAAATGTGTGCTAATTATTTCAGGATTGAGGTTTTCCTGTTTCTTCTTCGTCACACCCCATTCCCTCTAATGCTCTGATTAATTTGAATCTAAGAAAAGTAGAAGTAACAAACTTAGGCGGTCTGGAGAATTGGGTCTGCTACATGCTCATAACACATACTTCAGTAATCCCAGTATCTTCAAGCAGTGGCTGTTGAGACAGTAACATTTGCAGCGATACCATCGGATCCATCACTGGCATTAACACATCATCACGCCCATTAGTGGATGATTAATACAGAGCACTTGTATTAACTGTGGCTGTTCTATATCCATTTCCTTATATACTTTAAGTAAGCTTAGATGCCTGGGGCTTTAATGGTGCTGCATAATTTACATAAAAGTGATAACACTGATATGGGAGATAACAACAATAATAATAAAAAAAGAAGTGTGAAGCCAGAGATCATAAACTGCTAAACAATAAACCTGAAGTGGAAGTAGTCTGGACTCTTGTCTTTCACTACAGCTGACATCTATTGTCTATAGTCTACATAACAGCACATCATCTCACTTTACACACATGTTCAGTGTATCTTATACCACACACACTACATTCAAACCCACTTGAGCCTAGATAACCTCGTGAAGTTATAGCTTTTATAAACAAACTCCACCATGTTAGACCACATTACCTCCTCTTCGAGAGTGCAGCCAGACTTCACTGTGGCAAAATGAATAATTAATGGTTAGACCATCTAAATCATGGATGAAATATCTGTTTGATGGCCTGGCTTTTGCTCTGTGACGTGCAGGCAGCAGGAGATAAACAACAGTTAATGGGATACTAATGGTTCCCAAGCATACAGTATCTGGACAGTCTAGAGTGACTATCAGCATGAACAAAACTCACATGTCCCATTTGTTTGACATTTTTTAATGAGCCAGGCACCATTTTGACCACAGCTACTGACTCAGCATTTACAAACGGGATATAACCATGTGGAGCAAAGAGTCATACTTCCACAAAAAAAAACAAAAAAAAACATTTGCCTTTAGTGGAGCAATAATGAAATCCAAGCATGAGGAAATAAAAGTACCATGGGTGGCGCTTTATTTGAATGAACATGTAATTCCATCACCACTGTTTTGTGTTCTTGGTGATTATATCACCCTACAACTTTAAGTGTTAGGGCTCATTATTTAGAAAAATTTGAAACTAAAATTGTTGCATTTTAGTGCTTAAAAAACATTCTGTGCTTATTTCATTCTGATTTGCTTTAGTATAACATAAGTTTGCTTTCATAATCTGGTCCACATAGTGTACATCAAGCTACAGCTGGGCTAGCTTGGCAGTTGATAGTCTTGCTTGGCATATAAAATACAATGATGCAAGACGTCTGAACAAGCCGGTGAACAAAGCTGGCTCTGTGGTTGGATTCAAGCCGGACTCCCTGGAGGATGTGGTGGAGAGATGTAAACCAAAGAAAGTGGAGACAATTCTAAAGAACATAGATCATACACTTCATAACATCTTGATGGACTAAAGGGTCAATGGTGGTGGACCGCTGCGCTTACTTCACCCCAGCACAGAAAGAAGATCTTAATAATTCCTTAATAAATAGTACATGACTTTTTGAGACATGACAAATGAGACGACAGGCAACTGAATTTCCCTTCGAGGATCAATAAAGTTCATCTTCTTCTTCAGACAACTAGAGGAAAAAGGAAATGGCTAGCCTAGCTTAGCTTTCTGTGGCAATCACAGTAACTTCTGTCATCTTGAAGTCAATATCTTCATTTTCTGCCTTTTTTTCTTTTTCAACTAAAAAGTAGCAAGTTAATTAGTAAGTACTTCGTCTTGCTGATAGCTGATTTGTTTCCTGCGGACAGGGCTGGCTGTTTCCTTTTTATGATGTTGAGTTCAGCAAACTGACTGACATCTTTTTTTAGCATACACACAATAATAATACACACCACAAAGAATAAAAGATGATAAAGAGCCTCAAAGCATAAAAATTGTAAAAAAAAAAAAAATGTAGGAAAATAATTTCTGGCATTGTTTTTTTGCATCAGTTTTAAGTGCAGTGCAGAATTCAGCAAGCTGCACTTGCTCTCAACTTATAAATACTCCACATATTACCAAATACAGGTATACCTGTACAACAAAATGCAAGATGGAGTCATCCTTACATTCAGGATTTTTGAGACATAAAACTGCAAAAGGCTCAGGAAAAGATCTTATTTGAGTTTATAAATTGTTTACTGTCCCAGGAGTGTATCTGCTGTCTCCCACACTGAACCATGGACATCTTGCTCCATAGTATGACTTCATGAATAACACGCAAGCCAGGATCATGAGGCAAAGGTCATGGTTGTTTACACAGAGGCAGCCACGCTAAACTTTTAATTGGATCTCAGCAGTTTTAATGGAAAGCGACTTGTATCCTTCATGAGAAACTTCTAACATTACAAGCAACAGCAGATCATTTAAGGAAATCATCTTCCTTATTTTGATGTTGAAAGCTGGATGAGAAGATTTCTTGTGTGTCCGTTAGATATTAAACTGCAGCCAAGAGATGGTTAGCTTAGCTTAGAGACTGAAAAAAATCAAAGGGCAGCTGACCTGACTTTGCTAAAACTTCTACGAACTTCTTTATCAACTTCTAAAATTAATAAGACCTTCAAATAATAAATCATGAACTATAAAAAGTACATGTTGACTCACTGGATTGAAGTCTCTTTTGAGTTCCTGCAGTGCACCACAGAGCTTACTTTAAGCTGTCCTCGCCAAGGTCAGGTATTTATCCTTGGCCCAGTAATAATTCCTGTTTTTGTTTCTCGTTTCTATCTTGTAGATATCGTATCTTAGGAAACAAAATGATACAGGAGAAACATTCCCACACATAGAGAAACAAACATAGTACCCCTGTACTGGGAATTCATTTTGTAAGACACACAATGGATCATTTTGTCTCCGAAGATTAGCTCTTCATTTGAATCGAATTGAGTTCAACACTGCTTCAACTTATCATCTGAGGAGCTGTGCCTCCGAGAGGACAATGACTTTTAGATCCCCTCTTTACAGAGCGATCTCAATTTGCTTTTAATCTTTACAAAAATCATCCAGAACACATCTTATTCTAAATCAATACTGGCAAAAAAGAAGACAGGCAGTACCTTTTACAGAAGTGGAAGTCAAGTCATAAAACCCGGAGTATGGAGCAAACAGATACCTCTGAATGACATAATCAACAATGAGGCAGATTCTCAAAGAGGAAACTCAGAGGGCATAGTTTGCTTAGGTATTTGTCCTCAAAGCACTGTGCAAATAGATGTTAACCAATAACTCTGAGAATTTCAATGACTCATATCAAACTCCACCAAAAACGGGAAACAACACACAATACTTGTAAACCAATTACAAAAGAAAAGGGGAATAAAGTTTGCCAGTTACTCTGTTAGACAAAAAACTTGCCACAGTGCATAGTGACATTTGCTAAAAGGGCAGAGACCAGACAGAGCACAAATCAAACATTTAAAAACAAAGATCAACATTGACCATTAACCTTCCTTATTCAGTTTATATTATAGAACTAATTTTAAAATAAATAATAATCAGCTGCAAAGTCACAGGTCTGTCTATCTGAACCACTGGAAATTCTGAAAATAAAACAGAGTCTACTCTTCTTCAGTTTCAGAATTTGTAATCCTGAGGATCTAAATACCACAAAAGGCCATCACATACTGTATTTGAGTCCTGTCTATTCTAAAAACTCGTGTGGGATGTTGTGTAAAATATGAATAAAAACAGAATACAACTATTCATAAATCTTTTTCCACCCATGACAAATTAAAAACACTACAAAAACAAGATACTTAATGTTTAAACTGATCACCTTCAATCTTATGCCTGCAACACAATGCCTTCTTTCATCATCGGTTGACTCTGTGGATTCAATGTATTTACATGGTTCATTTTGATAAGACAGTTTTCCATATGTCAACCTCTCGGCACTTTGATAGGCATATCAATTCAAACTTTTGGACCTCAAGCTACTGAGATGCAGACAGTTTTAAAAACACAACATGAAAAAAGTCAAACCCATATACCCTATTTTGTTCATAGTCTTCATAAAGCTGAGCTCAAGGCAAAAGGTTAACAAGTTTACTGCAGCAAAAATAGCCCAGACTAATTACCATGACATTTGCAAACTAAAAAAAACAAAACTGTAAAAATTTCACCTCCTAGCAATAATTCCACAGCAAGCATAGCACACGAGATCTGGGTCATACAGACCACATTGTTAACCATATAAGGTTTCTGCATCAATCCAAAATAGCCCAATGAAGATTCCTTTGGACCCCTTTTCCCCCTCAAACTGCAATGATCTTATAAGTCTGGCTATTTTGAGTGCTTTATTTCTGCCACTGTTGAAAAAGTATCACACGGTTCATTCCCTGACTTAGCTGGTGGCATTGGGACCAGGAAAGATTGCGTGCTTGCAGACACAAGATAACTCAGACGATTATGAGCTAGATCCATCATGTGATAAAGCAGGGCCTTGGGGAAACCTATGGGCTTAGATTGCTGCCGTCTGCTGCTTAATGAGGTGGCAACAACAGGAAGACCTTTTACAACGAAAGAGAAATAATCCTGTATACAATCTGAGCAGCAGTTCATTACATATACTGATACACAAAATAGAGGGAAAAGAAACACAGTATTTGTTTTCAAGATATGGATTCTGATAATGCAATATGGATAAAAAACACTCTGATGAAAAGTGAAAAAATGAGTCACTGTGTGGACTGCTATTCATGATGTTTCAGCAGAAACTTGTGGCCATATATAAACTTTCACACCCACTTCTAGACTCTCTGTCGCTGTCACGGAAATACAAGCGCATACATCCTTACTTACTTCCTTTAGTGTGTGTGTGTGTGTGTGTGTGTGTGTGTGTGTGTGTGTGTGTGTGTGTGTGTGTGTGTGTGTGTGTGTGTGTGTGTGTGTGTGTGTGTGTGTGTGTGTGTATGAGCTGCTCTGTGGGGCCTCAGAAGTATCTAACTAACCACAGAAAGAGGTTTTATGGGTTTGGGGGACTTTGCGAGAGAAGTAGAAAAGCAGCAGACAGGTTGTGACAAGCCCTGTGCACATACTGCAGATGACAGACAGGTGATTAGCCCTGGGTTAAGATCTCTGCCACAAGCCATTCAGGAATGCGCATGGTCTGAGAACATTCCACCTGATATTTTACTTTTTAGAAGATTTGATCCAACAAATTTTTTGGTTTCAGTTTCACAAAATTTGTTTAAAACAATAAATTGCCTTTCGGGTTTTAATCGCTTAAAGCCACACTAAAGCATTTCAAGAAAACAGTATCAAAGTGTTATGTAAATAAACCCTGTGATGTGCTGGTTTCCTTGAAAAGACCAATCTAAGACAACAAGTGACTGGGGGAGATGAGTGGAGAAAGTCCCTGTGAACTGGTTACAGGAAGTAGGTCTGCCCATATGTCACAACTATCAAAGTTACTGCAGGGTGAATTCTACTACTATAGTGGTAGCTCGCAAGAGGACAAAAACAGATAGCAAAGGGAAGAGCTACAATGCTGCATAAAAACTCTACACTGCTGAGTGCAGTGGTAGTCTTCACACAAGGGCTCCTGTTAGAGCCACCAAACCATAGACTGTATATACTATGGACAACTTGGTTCTGCCTTCCGCCTGTATACGGATTTGAAGCCAAAAAGCTCTCAGTATTTATGAGTTTTTTCTCCATTTCCTGAAACCAACATTATGCAGTAATTTTAGCACTCCACCACTTGCGCAGTAGCATCGTGCGCATTCAGCAGGAGAGTTGCAGAGAGTCGCTATGATGACGCTCTGCTTAAACAGCGTATCCCCTGGGTGAGCTACGCAATCTTTGTACTCCCATAGGCTGTATCAGGTGTCAATCATAGAAAACATGAAACCCTGATAACTTTTAAAAATGTAGCTGTACAGAAAAAAAGGACTTGAGCACAAACCAGTCTTACAGTAAGTACATCTCAACATTGCAAGCAGGGGGGAACATTTTTTCTGGGTTATAAATTTCTCAAGTTTGTCCACAGTCCCATAAGGCTTGCTGGAGGAGGCGGGATTTATGACCTATACTGCAGCCTGTCAACAGAGGGTGCTGTTCTCGGAGTGGCTTCACCCAGCAAGGAGGCAGACGGCGTCTGTTCTATATACAGTCTATGCCCCAAACACAGACTGGTGAAACAAATAATCCTAATTTTATGGTAATTTCTTTGCTTTCATTTCATATAACACAATTAAATTATAATATTAACATTTAGCCATTGTACAGTTTACAGCAATGATAGCTGAAGGCTAATACTAGCTGTTTAGCCACAGCTAATGGGTTGAGATTTTTGGGTCAATAAATGTTGCTTTATCTTAAAATGTGACCCCTGGGGTCCTTCAAGATCCCGGTTTTGATTTTTGGCTTTTAAAGCTTCCGTGAGGAACTTTTACTTTGGGTCAATTTAGAGCCCCCTGTGGACAAAGCAGGCCCTGCTAATCACATCCTTTACATGCTGAAATAGTGTAACCTGACAAAAAAATCTATCTGCAGCTTTAGGTAACTTAAATTTATCCTTTTTTCGTAAACCTTTTCCTATGGACACAGTAAAAAAATATAGTTTCTGTGGCTACTTGGCGAACATCCACCTCCACTCAATGATTCCACACATTAAAAATTACAATATTAAAGCTGTCAGCCTTGTTGCAAATTAGCTTGTTTGTGTTTTAATGTCATGAAAAGAAAATGGTATGAATTTCAGTCTGTTTCATAAACATAAAAAAACCTACTCACAGGAGCTTTAACAATGTAGAAACTTAAAACAGTAGTTGTATGGTCTGTTACAAAGCTGTTCATGTGAAAATTGTTTGCCAAGACTGTTATAAAAACTTCGATTTATTTACCACTACAACAGGTCAGAACTTGGTTTGAATTTCTCTACTTGTTTACTGACTCAAATATGTCATTCATGTAGTTAATGTTCGATCAGAATCTCCTGTTAATCTGTCTGGGAGAGCAAAAAGACATGGTGTAATGTACTGAAACAATGGGAAGCTGTGTTGTCTCTGACCTACAGTTCACCCTTTAAAGGGTGGACTCCACAACCACTTCTGCTGCCTCAGAGCCTTAAATCTAGCTCAGCTGTTAAAACCCTTTAAGTGAGACGTATACTACTGTTCAATGGACAACTGACTTACAGCTGACTTTCATCTCATGAGGTTCCTGAGGTAGAAGTCCAATGAATAATGTAAGTGCAAATCGCTTTTGGGATCAGAAACCCACAAAGGTAAAAATGAGCTGCAATGGCATCAGATTCGTGACAAAAGAAAATGAATAATCAAATGAGTAAAGAGGAACTTGTATTAAAGAGAAGCAAGTTCATCAATTACCACTTTACATCAGACAGTGCGGTGCCAGTAACATGTATTTGCATTGCAAATACATTTGCATTTAAAATTAGCCTGTAAATGGAAAAACTCCTATAATCAGATTCATGGCTGTGAAAGTAAAATAAGTAATCAGCTAATTCATGGGAACTGTTATGAGCCCTAATGTACCTTTCTTCAAAGTAGAATCAATGAGGAAGAGCAACATTTCCTGTTTTGTAAGTAACTCACCCTCTACAACAAGCATCAGCACAAAACAGCCTGTATCTTATCTGATCTTGCATCAGGTTACAAAAACAACGTCCTTATCCAGCAGTTCACCCACAGTACCAGCGAATAGGAGGGCATCATTGTCATTTAGAGGAGCTACCTCAATGTGATATCTGACCTGCTTTTACCATATCAGCCCTCGCGGATCCTGAGGTCCTCCGGCACCGGCCTTTTATCCATACCAAAACCCAGAATTAAAACCTACAGTGAGGCGGCATTTAGCCACTACGGCCCCCACCTGTGGAACTGTTGATATTTTTAAAGGAAGGTTAAAGACCTACCTTTTTAATCAGGCTTTTGACTAGTGTTTTAAATTCTTCTTACGTACTTATGTGGTTTTATCTTATTTGATGATGTTGCTTTTATCAGTAGTGAGAGTGTGCAGGTGCGTGTGTCTGTGTAGTATGGAGGGTGGGAGAGAGGAACTTTGTTCGTGATTGTTTTTTCTGTTTCTTTTTTATCTATGTGTGTAAAGCACTTTGTGTTCATGTCCATGCATGAAAAGTGCTCTATAAATAAAGTTTGATTTGATTTACCTCAGATAGCGCTGGTAAAAATTGTTCAACCTAGTGTTCAACCCTGGTATCAAGTTTATATTGATGG